TGGCTTGTGCCCCTGTTGTTTCTGACTTTTGGCGGGAAGAGCCATTTTTCATTGTCAAGTAGCTGGTCCCAGACAGAGCCAAAGATGCAGAAGGACCTCTTTGGGTAACTCAGCTAAAAAGTCGGGACTTCAGGGACAATGCATGAAAGGTACGCAACCCTCACTTTTATGTCATACATTGGCAGCTAATAGCCACTCTTGTGCATTCCCAACTTTTGTACATTCTATTGTAGGTGGACGATGCTCCTGCTCTAGACATTCATTTCCATAATTAAAGTAGGTTGATCCGAGCTGATTTGGTTGAGTTACGCTCACACAAGATTACATCAGTTGAGCTACATCGAGCGTGCTTTATGTCCAGAGTGATGTAATCTCTCTTTGACCGCAGCTCAGTCAAATCAGCTCGGATCAACCTACTTTATTCATGGAAATGAATGTCTAGAGCAGGGGCATCGTTCCCATGCAGTGGATCTCGCAACAATGATGATTGGATAAAAGTGGCCGTTAGCTAGCAATACATGCCTGTTCCTAGATGATCCATAAAGTAATTATACATTGACCCTTTCATTTATGCAAACGTAGCTGTGTTACACAAAGACGTCCCTCTGCATCTTTTGCTCTGCCAGGGTCCACCTACTTCACAATGAACAAAGACCACTCTTCTTATAGCATCACGCTTACAAACATAAAGGTGCCTGTTTCTCCGAACTTTACAATGAAACGTGGGGTTTTGAATAGAGCAATGTGCTCGGCTTGGCCAACAGCACCTTGTGTGAAAGTTTCGCGTTCAATGTCGCAAACAGCCCAAAAAATATTTTTTGGTCGTCGTCGTCGAAGAGGTCGACCCCCGGATCCAGTTTGGCTGGTGGCGACATTTGCGAAATCTGGGATTGCCCACGATGAACTTCATACTTTGACACAAGATTCCTTTGACCCCGACGAGCTCGTTGATCTATTAAAGAGCCCACGTTTGATTGTAAAGTTTGGAGATACAGGCACCTTTATGTTTTACATATGCTGTAAGGGTGATGCCATATGAAGAGTGGTCTTTGTTCATTGTCAAATAGTATGGTTACAATAGAGCCGAAGATGCAGAGGGGCCGTGTTTGTTTAACTCAGCTCATTATGCATGACTGGAAGGGGCAATGTATCATATTCAGTAACAGCCCATCATGGGCAGCTAGCAGCCCCTTCATCCCATTCACATTTGTTGCCCAATACAATGCATGTGAACGATTGTCCTGCTCCAGCCCTTCATGCTTATCATTCAACTTTCTTGATCCGAGAGGATTTGATTGAACAGCGCTCAAACAAAGTGTCATCCAAGCATCAGAAGAATCAATTTGATTTCCAGATCTTCCACTCCTAGCTTCTTCCCTCTTCCTCCCATTCTCAACTGTTGCCCCATTCAAGTACAACCACCACCTGCGAACGATTGTCTTGCTTCAACCCATCATGTCATTCCCACAACTGCCGTGATCCGATTGTCGTTGACTGAATGGCAAGTCCATGGTGTGTGCACCCCACTACAACACAACGCCTTCCTCTGACACAGCACGTTCTCTTGTACACTCATCTACCACAACTAATGTTAACAGCATTCATTCCAGCAGTTGCCATTAGCAAGGCCTTTACTCCATTGTCTCAAACAGTGTTCTTTACTTGCAGCAACATGCCTTACAGCCTTCGTTACGTGGACAGCAGATAGCCATTGTATAGAGGCAGCTTTATTTACGTGTAGCAACTTGTTTCAATACATACTGCTTACTACGGGTATGGATATGGATATGGATATGGGATGGATGGGGTTGGATATATGCAAAGCATGGAGGAAGAGCCTTTGTTCTTATGCATCCATTGTCTTTTGACCCTGATGCTATCATCGTGAAGGGTTGCCATATTGAATAATCGCGCTTTACACGCTATTGTACGGCAACTACTCTCATCAATTTTTATGCGAGCTATCGACCATGTACAACCATCATCATCATCATCATCCAACTCGATGTTTCGACACTCAACAGAGAAGGTGGCTGCCAACATTGCCATGTTGCATACGTGGTTATGCATTCAATACTTTCGGCATGGTGTTGAAGGCGATAGTCCCCATTGAAGTTGTGGGTTCGGTTGAAGGATAAGAGTCAGTATAGTTGGATTGTGTGATACGCTATGTTCTAAACACGGGTGACCTGGCACCTCATCCGAAGTTTGATACGCGACTGCCTGTCCTTCTCGACAGAAGCTGTACACATTAACGGGACCTTCATCAATCTGGAGCCCTTGGAGTCGTCGTGATACACTGGGTCATGGATACGGATGATCGGAGACTTCCTCCCAAGGTTGGCATACCGATGTATCTTTTAAACGTTGTTTTCCCCTTACACGAGATTTCTTCCTCCATATTCACAATACTTTCATTAATCATTGCCTACTTGTGCGAGGTTTAACTGGATTCTCAATGAGACTACAAACCATGTGATTTGATGTGATTTCTCTTTCATGGTGATAGTTCTTTTTTTTCTCAAAGGCTTTGATACTGTATGTTACATGTGTCACAAAGCATATTACTGTACACTGATGATAAGAAAAGACCATAACACACAACATTTCAATTCTCATAAACGTTTTTTCCCCATTCTTCGAAATGGCATGCGATGCTAATGTATCCAACGACACCCATAGAGTATGCAGGAAAATGAGACGCTATGTAATGCTTTGGGAATTATACTCATGAGCTTCTTTAGACCAATATAAGTCTAGAGGATGACAAAGACAACGCTCGCAAACATTACTTCGAAACAGGGTTGAACGCACTCTTAGCCAACCCTAACTTTCTGCTCCTCTACGTGCCAGATAACGGGACCAAAATGAGAATTATACGGCCTGCCAGCAATGTATACCATCGAAACCGGATGATCGAAAGGATTAATGAAGCCAAGTATATCCCATCTTTTTACTATGCTTTGTCGCACCTTTGGGGTCTCTCAGAAAACAACCGGTACCTTTGGAATGGTATCAGCGAATACGTGGATGATGAAGAAGGGATAGCTGTCAAACCTGTTTCGATGAGACCTGAAAAACGTTGCGCACTACTGAAGTTGCTCAAGGTCCATCCGGACAGTTATTGGTGGATCGATGTCTTATGTGCACGTACCGAAACACCGCTCGATATCATGGGTGATATATACTCTTGCTGCCTTGAATGCGTTGTCATGATTGATTGTGAACCGAGCCTGATACCAAAAATTCACGCAATGCACCATTCGAAAATGGAAATCGAGGAATTATATCGCACGAAAGAGTACATAGCATACGAGCAGATCTGTCAAACCGAAGGGCTCCAACTGACCGAACTCTTGTACACATTCTTCCAAAGTCGATGGTGGAAGCGTGTATGGACCTGGCAGGAGATGGCTCTACCTATGGGAAATGTGCGGTTTATGGCTGAAACAGACACTCACCAGCTCCAAACCAACACAATAACTCGGGAGCAACTACTTGGATTTGAAGAAATGGCGTACATTATAGTATTTACTCTAAACAGGGCATTGTATTATAACCAGAATGAATTACACGGTGCGAGGCATGGTATGCTTGAATTGCTAAGTATCGAAGCACATTGCTAACCAGTTGACTAGTCGATGACAGGATGCTAAAGTTAGCCACTGAAGTTCATTTAGATTTCGAGGACATAGGGTGCGCAAGATCATCCATCAACTATCGTATCTCGGGAAACAAACGTGATTTTGCCATTATAATTGCCTCACTAATGTACTCTACCCGACGTTGTTATGATCCAGCTGATTATGTCTATGGTGTACTGGGAATGATGCGGATCAAAATCCCAAGGATGTCCGACCCGAATGCAGTTTGGTGGCATTTATTGTCGAAGTTGGATGATTTAGTTCCGCTTGGCTCTAGAAGATGGATAGATCGTGCACACGAAATTGATTTACGTAAAGTTCAAACACTTGGTGATGTATTCTCCAAGGTTCTCGATGTCTATAATGGAACTAAATAATTGATAAAGAATACAGCCTGAAGCAAAGGATGGTCTTTATTATAAAGCCTTACGACAATATCCTCCCCAAACCCATCCATTCAATCCCATTCAATTGCCTATAGCATCCATGTCACTTATGCAATAAAGTAATATTAACACGATTTATGCAAAAAACAAAATGAAATGAGAAAGGCTTCCAGGCTTCCTCCACTATATAGCCATCATGTGTTTTTCGATTTACTTGCGGTTGGATCTCTTCTTGGCGCGAGGAGACTGCTTGGGGCTGTTCTTGAGATGATGCTCAGGAATCCAGGATTCATCCAAAACCATTTGACCCTTTTCATCGCGGTGGGAAGGTTGAACAGCAGGTTCCTTTGATGCCTTCTTGGTCTATAGTCGCCAAAAAAGTATTATGTTAGGTACACTTGTTTATCCACATGCATTAGGAATAAAAGGGAAGCATACCTTGGTCTTCTTAGCACCACCAAAGAATGCTTCACGAATGATATAGCCAACACCAAGACTGATGGCACCGAGAACAATGTACAAAAAGATCCTGGTAACGAGTCGTATGTTAATCCCTTGGATAATGAAGAACCCTGCCCATTCAACTTACAATTGAGGATCCAACCACGAGGTCTCGGGATCAGTGATAGTGATCAATCCATCATAACCAGTAACACGGACAATCTTCTCCTGTATATACCAATAATGGTGAACATCCACATGTATGCAAATCCCAAACATGATCTACTTACGCCGCCCAAAACATCAACGAACACGGTCAAAGCAAGCTCTCCAGGTGCGAATTCAGAGTAAAAAGCGTAAGGGATCTCGACGGTACCTTCAGCAGGGATGTTCAAGTCATAACGAAGAGCGGTCAACTATATCATGCATTGTTGTATTAGTATCCTCGAACATATATGAAACACCAGCATCATCCAGCATGGGTCTTTTGTTCAAACTTACGTTGCGAAGGATCTTGTCAGGGTTGTCAGGATGGGAAACCTTGGCAGAAACAGCGAGCACAGAGTAATCCACATCTTCCTTATTGGTAACTGATAAAAGAACCTTGTTGCGCTGGCCATTGACGATCACTAGGCACGAGAACATAGGGTGTTAGGACACATGTTGTACATACCCATATCCACGAGCTATCCTTTTTACTTACATCCAAATGGGTTATCAGGGAATTGTGCAGTGATATCAAGATCAGCAGTGATAATTGGGTTCTCTTGTTGTTCGTCTTGTGCAAACACTATGTGTGGATGGAGATCGAACGAGCTCATCAATACACACGCGTGCTTTCCAATGTCCAAGTAGAGGGACCATGTGACACTTACCAAGAGACGTGCATGCGATGACGAGGAAAAGAAGTGTCCAGAATGAGGAGAGTTTGGCCATTGTACGCGGGTGATAAAGTAGTAGTAGTGGGGGTGGAGGAAACACGAAGATATCGAAAGAGCTCCTTGATTGATATTTATATAAGATTTGGGTGGTGCAACAAGCTGTGATTGGGTTAGCGGGCTTCAACGTGTATCCAACCAATGAACTCTCGCTGAATGGCACTGGATGAAAGCTGATCGTCCCTCGAATTCCTTCGTGTCTACATCCATTGAGTTCCCTTTTCATAATCCAAGCTCATCAACTTTATAATGGGTATCCCCTTTGTTTTGCTGGTTTATCATAACATGGTCATCTTGTACTTTAAATAATGATTATAAAGACTTTGACTACCACCCAATCCCGTTCAGGTTATTTGAGAATATGGCAACGATCTCGAACATGATCGAAAAATGATATTGGATTTCTCCTAAATCTTGCTCTTGGTCATTGCCTCTTTGGCTTTACCTGGTTACCAAGTATCTTTTATTGCATCGCCCCTAGTAACACCTTGCATTGGCTGTGCCTTTGGGGCAGTCGTTCTTCCTTTCAAGCACCATCCTGGTACCGATTTAATGGAAGGTGTCATATCAACCCTATGCAAGAGCTGTGGTATCCAGGAACATCGGCCCTTGAGTATTATGCCTACTAGTGACAAAGGTGTCATTGACGTTGCATTCTGGAACCTACACTTACACCACAAACATGCTCGAACAACGTCTCTTTGGTGAAATTTGAGGAGCACAGCAAGTGATTCGTGATAGCCGACGGCTGATGGATATCGCCCCCTTGTTTATCTCAGATCTTGATTTATGCAAGCACACTCAACCATGCCAAGGCTCTTTGTGAGGCGCCCCATCAATCTATCAGCCCATCACCATTTTCAGCAAGCACTTTATCATTCACTGTGATCATGAAAAGACTCACGCCCACCATACATGCACATATATAAGAATGTTGTCGCCCACTTTTCCTCCCACAATCTCTTTCTTTCATCATTGATACACATTCTACAATTCTAAATTGATGTGAGTATCGTGGCGGGTAGTGCTCTTTGTGAGTGATTCATATACTAAAAGTATTCGTGATGGTTTTTAGCCTTTCATTGTTGTTATCCTATGTTGTGGGTGTCATTGTTATCCTACTTCTATTTTGGTTCCTTGTTTCATTAAGGTAAAACGTAATCATATTGCTTAATGACGCCTATGCTCATATAATTTCAGATGTAGCTACCTCCCGAGATGTATCTGCAAAGTTAGATTAAGAGCACAGCCTACTACAGCCCGCATGGTGGTGAATAGCAGCTTCTCCATCATTGTCATCAATGCAGCAAGTGAGCTCGCTCCTTGCTTCAACCATGGAATCATCAGAGCAGCCTATACAAGAGCAACAATTTCCACATATATCAGGTCCTGCCTAAAGGGTTCGTGTTAAGTATTCATCCAAGCTATTGATTCTCTAAATATTCATTGCAAGCATCTTCAATGTTGTAGCTGGTAACCTCTTCTTCAGCTATCCTCCCCTGCCTACTAGTTTGGCGTGGCAATATGGATCTTACATCAAACGCTATGCCACTATCAGTAGAATAAGATAAAGATTTAATGCTTTCCATTCTGTCTATGGTGATGGCATTGCTGTATTACCATCTTGGTAGAAATGACATTTTTGTATTTACCATCAGCAAGTGCAGCAAACGAGAAGCTACAAGGACATCACTGTTGTTGTTATTGTACCAATGGTAGCACTATTATACGGCTTGACAAGTCGAGCCAAAAGGCTCCAATCATAAGGTTGGATGTTTACGACCTGATCCACATGCAACTTGAAAGCGTCATGAAGAACGATTACATACACAGCCTGCAGAAGATCCTGCATCATATTGGCCGTATCACAGTTGATGAGGCTCACATGCTAATTACTGATGCTGGTCGTAGTAGCTTCACGGATGGCACGCTTCATGTATCAAGCTATGAAGCGCCATAATCCCAAGACCACCATCACCCAACTTATCATGGTACCTTCATACCATCGTTACAAAAATCACTATCCACAATGATCTTCCCCTTATTCATTGTTATGCAAGTTTAATACATCTTTATTTTGTTCATCATGTGTGCTGTGCATAATGGTATTGGTTGTATCAGTGTGTGATTGTGACGTACATGTAGAAGAGACTATGAAGGTACGTGATTCGGTTGCAATCCAACAAGGATAATGATAGGCATCTCATAGCATTCATAGCTACTTAAATCACATTATTAATGGGGACTCCTCAGCATCATGTTGATGGCAATGGTTCCTTTGACATGATGTGGGCACACGTCAAGGTGAAAATGGCAAGGCGGATAAATCCAATATGGCAAGAGGTACGCCATCCGTGTTCGAGTGCACTCTTTCTTCCTCCGCTTCCTTCAAATGTCAACCACCCGATCGATCGCCGAGGCACCACCAGAATTACAACAAAAGCTCGAGGATGCTGGTTATGAGACGATTAACGATATCAAAGAAGCGGGTGTCTTGCAAGTCATTCAAGGTGAGCCTTCCTATTCTACACATGCCAATTACTCATGTGTCTTTTGCAATGTTCTTGTCTTGCACACTCACGTGTATTCTCTTATCAACCAGAGTTGCAGCTATCGTCTTCCGAGGTTACTATTATGTTGTCACTTGTGCAAGGAGGTGAGGGAATGATATAGTGTTGATGATCGATTCATGCGCAGCAGCAGCACTCACGACGTCTATTGATAACAGGGCAAATCCATTCTTCTCAATCAGCAAAGGATCGACTCGTCGCCGATAGCAGCAAAACGGGAATCAGTTGTGGATCACGCGCCTTGAATAATCTATTTGCAAGTTACAAGGGGATTCCTTACGGCTGCATTACCGAGTTTTGTGGAGAGGCTGGATCAGGCAAAACACAATTAAGGTATGTATACCGAATGAATGGGATGGTTGATATACTTACAGGTATCTAGCATGCAGCTGGCTGTCAATGCTTTGTTGCCGAGTGAATTTGGTGGATCCAATGGGGAATGCATGTATATCGGTAAGTCGACAAAGGTTTGCATGGCTTGGGTTATTAACGACATTCCTTGATAATAGACACCGAAGGTGGACTGGTACCAAAAAGACTACGTGCCATTGCTACAGCTATGCAGGATCAATATCCGGATCAAGTGGAAAATGGTAAGGATAAATCAATCGATTAGGGTGCAATGCAAGGATGCTTATTGGTGTACCTGCCAGATGATTTACTGAGCAAGATCCATGTCTTTAGGGTGTTTGATCATTGCGAACTCATTGCTCTGATACGCCAGCTACCTGATATCTTGAATGAAATGGCACAGGTGATTATCCAAACAATGAGCGTGTCATTATGTATCTCTCATTCATGATCGATTTCTCTTGTAGATCAAGCTATTGATTATTGATACGATCACCTTTCCATTACGACTCAATATCAGTGACATCCGTTTACGCAATTCTTTGCCGAGTTTTCTTGGACGCACGTTGCTAGATATAGCGAACAAACATACCATTGCTGTAAGTATGCTCTTGGAAGTGGGCGTTACATTGCACATCATAAACGAAACAAAGGTTGCTGATCAGGTGTTTATTAGGTTGCAGTGACCAACCAAGTGACAACTGATAGGGTCAATGAAGCTTTAACCCCTGCCCTTGGTAAGTATTACATGGCGCGCTTTTCTACCCTTTGTCGGCTGATGGAATGATTTGCAGGAGCAAGCTGGGGTCATTGGTGTGCAAACAGAGTATTCCTCTATCGGAGACGAGACAAGAGGTATGTAATCTATGGAGTTGTAAAGATAAAAGGAGCCTTCTTTTCTTATTCTATGCATCTATTTGTGCAGGCATGCTTACCTTTATAAGTCCTCATTGGGAGTATCGGATCGGACGGTGCAATTTAAGATATCGGTAGGTCGTGATCTTGCAATCAGGGATAACAAGAACATGTTTATTAATAACATCCTTATTCCCCTTCTTCCTAGGACCATGGTATAGAAGATGGACTCGATCAGGAAGCTGATGAACAAGGACAAAATGAGAGTATGACGCAAGACAATTGTCCTTGGAACACAATGAACAATGAGGAAGATTTATTTTGGGATGCGGATGCGGATGATCATCAAAAGCCGGAAGCTCAACCCACAACTAGTACCATTCAACAACCCAAGCCGATCTCAACACCACAGCCATCGACTCCTCATCCACCTACCCTCATACGTGATACATCAATGCACGAAGCAACAATCCCATCCAAACGCAAACAACCAGAGGAATCGAGTAACGAGCATGATGATTGGTCAAGCGGCGAAGAGGATGATTATCGCTTTCTTGCTGGATTTGAGGACTCGCCTTCGTTTTGATAGACAACTACAGAGTCAAATAGCTGCCCATTTGTATATAGTGACATACCTATAAACTACGTCTTATTGTATAATCTTCGAAGGATGTTTCAGATGCTGCATAAACAATTCCCCTATATTGAGAGTCTTCTTCCAAACCAGATCCTACAGAACAAAGGGCTATCGGGTTGTCAATGCTATAAGCGTTAATGTGATTGAACAAAATCTCGTGCTCAAGTTGCATACGATGCAAGAACCTGTCGGGGATGTAAGGGGTGGTGAAAGAGATGTTGACCTGCGCACTGACCTCTCATCCTCCAACAAGGTAATAATAGTGTATGTACATGTACAGCCAGCCATGGTGAAGAAGATCCAATCTCGTGATAATAATGTATGTGATGATCAAAGGAACCTACTAGTGCGCATGATGATCGACATTGCTAATGCAAGAGGTGTTTATTGATTCCCAGAATGGGAAATGAATGCTCTCCTTGTCATGCCATCGTCATTGTTGGGATACAAGCGGCAAATGAACATTATACCACATGTGCGATGCTGGTGACGAAAAGCTGCTACATACTTACTACAGCCATGGACCACGAACGTGCCTATACACACCCACTCCTGCTCTCCTTTTTGCCGTTCTTTCAAATCGTGAGCGAAGCATACACCGCTTATTAGGGTAGGTCAACGTATACATAATACAAAAAAGCTGATGAAGGTTTTAAGTTGGCAGCATGGGTTGGTATTTTGAAGGTATTGGTGGGGAAAATCAGGAGCACTAAATAAAGAGCGTGGGTTTTGAATGGTACCATGTAGTCGTAAAACAACCCTCCTCATACACACTAGCATCCACTTTGTCTTTTTCCATGCAAGATGGCAAAACTTTAAAGGACATCGCCATATACATAGCATTCCTATTCTTTTGCCTTCACTCTTCTCCTCTTTATTACACTCAAGGCGGCACATCAGGATACTTTAGGAGCGTCAAGAAGGAGGACGTGGTTGGATCAAAGGGACACTAGTTGGCAAGGGAAAAGTGATCATGTATTCAGGTACAATCATCTAGAGCTAGAAGGAAAAGGGTGGAAAGAAAAAACACGCTCGTCACTTTACATGTGCACCTGTGTTGACTTTTTTCGATTTTGAAACTTCGACAAAGGGTACATACGTTTCCCAACATTTTCTTAATAAAGCTGCTTCACGATTCGATTATGACATATGCAGCTGGAAATACACTATTCGCAACGTTTAAGGGGTGCGAAAAAAGCAAGTTTGTGCAAGGATGACAATGAAGCTAAATGACACATCGACACCTATCTACAAAAGGAGGGGTTAAAGGTCAAGTAAAGAAGAAGCATCCAAAAGCTTAGAAGCCTTTGCAGAACATGATGTGTGTAACACTTGCCGCTGTTCTACAGTGTACAGGGGGGGAGGCATTTGCTTTTGATGTGCCGAAAAAGGGGTGGGTGAAGGGCTGTCTTTTTGGGAGCAAAAGGAAAAGATCAAGGAGACATGATCGATTCAAGCGTGTGTGTGGCTCATTTATAAGAGCAGTTCTTTGTAAGAGAGAGAGATATCTGGTTGCTCTTCCCCTTTTTCCAACGACCCATAGTGGCAGCAGCTGAGACACACACACATTACATTATCACTCATCATACACCAGCACGTTACACGCTACTTCCCATGTCGTTTCAAGAACCACCCCTCAACCCACATGTGTTACTCAACACGTACATCGACAATCGTACTATCCAATTGATTGCTGTATTGGGTGTTGGTGCCTATGGTATCGTTTATCAAGCTCGTCATGTCAAAACGCGTAGGCTTTATGCGGTCAAACTTGTTACAACATCCATGAATCATCACCATCCAGCGTCTTTTCGATGCCGTGAGGCGGAGATCCACCAGCAAGTGAATGAGCACGATAACATTTTGACCTTTGTGAAGCAAGTATGGATGGGAGAATGGCTCTTTCTTGTGTTGGAATACGCGCCGTATGGAGATTTATTTAGCGCCATCACACATCCAACAAGCACGATTGTGGGGAACAATGAATCCATTCGGCACATCTTTTTACAAATCCTTGATGCTGTGCAGCATTGTCATAATCATGGTGTGGCCCATCGTGATATTAAACCTGAGAACATTCTCGTGTTCCCTGATCAGCAAGTCAAATTGGCTGATTTTGGGCTTGCCACCACGCAATCAGTGTCTGCCAACTTTGGATGTGGATCCACCTTTTATTTTTCACCAGGTAATGTGCCACCCACGTGCTACTTTTTGAATTGAATGATCACTCATTTTATTATTGTTGTTGTTGTATGATATAGAGTGCCAAGGTGGAATCACCAGAGACTATAAGCGAATTAAGGGATACAGCACACGTCCCAACGATGTATGGAGCCTTGGGGTCATTCTCATCAATCTTACCGCTGGACGGAACCCATGGAAGCAGGCTACAATGCATGATTCAACCTTTGCAGCATATACCCGACGCACTGCAGGCTTCTTCAAGCTCATTCTCCCATGCATTTCAAACGAGCTGAATGCTATCTTGGAGCGTGTATTTTGCTTGGATCCTGCTTTACGCATATCTTTACCGGAACTTCGAATGCGTGTATTGCAATGCCATTCGTTTATTGCTGAGCCCATCACAGCACCACAACCACCACCTGATATACCACTTCCAGAGACACCTCCCACACACACCACCGAGCATGATGTCGTATCGTCATGTAGCTCCGAATTTAGCCCTTCAACATCTTGCAGCTTCACCTATTCAACTGCCATGGACATGCTGGATTACGCCCATGGATACTCAACTCCTGAAGAAGAATGGGAAAACATTGAAGATTATGATGCTGATGTTACCACTGTCACCATACCCTGTTGGTCCGTATCCACCACATCATGTTCATCCATGGCATCCGAAGATGATGATACACCCCCACCAACTACACCACGAGATACCTTGCCACCTCCTCCTCGTCATCATCATGATGAGATGAAGTACGATCACCATCATCATCATCCTAATATTGCCGCTACCACCACCACCACTGCTCATCCTCATCACAACAGCTACTTCTAATTGCTCTTCCTAGCATAATAATGAGCCTATTGCGAATCATTGACGTACAAAAGTTTTAGTATTGCTTATAAAATTGTTGTCATGTGGGATGCTTTGACCCATATAATACATGTGTTTAAAGGTGGATGATGAAGGTATATACGCAATATGGACCCCCATTACACGATTCCTCAAGATGTCTTCAATGATTGGTTATATGGTAATTTTATTTTTCTTTTCTATTTCCCATCAGTACATGAGGTATATATTGGGCCTTCAAGATGCGTCAAATTGAAGCGAGAAAGGAATAGGAGGGGAATGATACAACAACGCATTCTATGGGGGTGGGGAATGTATAGGAGAGGAAGAGAGGAAAACACAAGGAGAAGAAAGAGAGCCATGGAGGAGATAAAAACGAAAAAGAAGGGTATCCATTGACAACAGAACACCCATCAACATCATCATCATCATGGTATTCTCCTTACTTGCCAACCTTGGTTGAAAGTTCAAAGCGTTGGATAAATAAGGTGGAAATGAAGGCAAGTGAAGCCATGGCAACCATCGCATAGAAACTGTAACGCAAGGCAACCTCGTAGGCATCAAGTACAATATCCAAAATATCGGCTGGCAATAATGAACGCACCTCGCTCATTGACTGGCGGGCAATTTCAATATACTAAATAAGGGTAGGGGTAGATTAGCAACCTTGCATGAAAATGACATTGATCTTTCTTTCTTTGTACCTTTTCAGCATCAGGGCCAGTAATCTTTTCAGCAAGGATACGCTTGACGACAGCTTGGAAGACGGCCGATGTCACCGAGATACCAATGACACCACCAGCAGATCGGAACAAGTACGACATGGACGTAATGGTGGCCATTTCAGATGCAGCAATGGTCGACAACATGGCGATGAGGGTTGTTGTAATGAGGATGCCCATGGAGAGGCCATCGAGGATAGTGGTGATGAAGTAGAACCACAATGGGGTGGTGGCTGTCCAGAATGAGTATCCAGTGATGGCAACGAGCAAGGTAAAGGCGGCAGTGATGGTGATGCCCTTGTATTCACCGGTACGTGAGATGAAGAAGCCTGAGAATACAGAGCCACATGATAACGATACAATACGAGGCATCAAATAGAGACCTGCACGAGTTGGGCTGTTTCCAAGTACTGCTTGCAAGTAGAGTGGAATCATGTATACGGACGACATGGTTGCCATCAATGTCCAAAAGTTGGCCAACGAGCATGCGAGTGGAGTACGACTGGTAACAATGGACCATGGCATCAAGGGATTATCAGCAACCTTGGCTTCAACCACACCAAAGAGCAAGGTCAACACCACCGATGCAGCCAAGCAACCAAGTACAAAAGGATCAGACCAAGGACGTGTGTTGCCACCCAATGAAGTTGCCACCATGAATGCAACCACAGCTGTTACAATGGTTCCAGCACCAAGCCAATCGATCATCTTGAGACGTTGCATCAATGTCGAGTTGTCGTTGCGCTCTTTGAGATTATAGTTGGTCATGACGCATGATGCCACATAGATGGTGACAAGAAGGATTGGAAGATTGATATAAAAGCACCAACGCCATCCCACTGTATCAGTAATGAATCCACCCAATGGACCACCCATCAATGAGCCGAGCTACGGAGCAAAACATCATCGCACTTTAGCAAAAAGATTGGATTGCCGCACAACAGACGCACACAAATGCTACAGCAGCAGCATCCTCCGTGCATCGGCCTTGTCTCAATTTGTTACACTTACACCATATGCCATATTACCGTATCCTTGGTATTTACCACGATCTCGCAAAGATACCAAATCACTGATAATGACAGTAGTCAATGTGTTGATACCACCACCACCAAGACCAGCCACGAGACGTGCTACAACAAGGGACCATAAGTTGGGAGCAGCACCACAGAGCAATGAGCCGATGAAAAAGACAACCGTTGCAAAGAGCAAAGCAGACTTGCGACCAAAGACGTCCGAGATCCGGCCATCTGCAACATCGAAAAGGTATACAACACCGATGAATGATTGGTTACACAATGCTTATAATTTTCGTTCTCCTCTCTGATTAGCAGAATATACTTACACAGGGGCTGCAATGCAGTGTAGCTCAGAAGATACGCTGTGGCAATCCATACAATCTCGTTCGACCTAAGGGAATGGCACATGTCAACAATACATCAACCAAGGTAATCAATCCTCCATCCTTACTTTTGAAATTCGGTACCAATTTGTGCATAGATCGTGGCTACAATGGATGAATCCAAGGAACCCAGCGTGACAGCAACCCAAATCCTTTATCATATGTACAATGTGAGTTGAAACGATAAAGGAAAACCAAAAGATGATGGATGACTTACGATCCCAAAACAGTGAGCAGCGATGCACCATTGAGGCGACGAGCTACGATATCATCTTGCTGTTGGGTGGTGCCTTTGCTACTAGAGCTGGAGGAGGTGCTGCTTCGTCGACTTGCCAACGAGGGTGGATTGGAAGTAAGGATGGTAATGCAATCATCATTATCGCTGGACGCAGAGGTTGTCTTGTAGCCTGCCGGTGACAGGGTATCGTTCAAAAGAGGCGTGGTTTCCTCCCTTCGCTCCATTACAAATGCTGCTGTGGATGTCGGTGGATGAAGAGTGATACGGAAAAGAAAAAGAAAGGGAAAGGAAAAAAGAGGACACAGACAACTTAATTATCACCGACGGCAGGGTGCCCCTTTTTACTTTTTATGTACGGCACAAAAGACTTCCACCTGAGTCATGATGTTTCCCTTTGCCCTTTCTCTACTATCTACTACCTAGCCACTCCATATCATAATGACAACAATAATAAAGGTAGCCATAGTGACAAAATGTGACACCATCATCCTCAGCCCCCACCTTCTCAAACCAGAAAGATTTGAATAGAGATAGTGTGGAAACATTATCACCATTATGCATGCATGCAAACTCCTCCTCAATGGGGCCCCATCATCATTTATGTAGCATTTTTGCTGTTCACCAATGGATGGGTTTCACCCACTCTTGTGGTCATTGTATAAGAAAACTATTATAGCTTCCCACGATAGCAATACTTTTTCATCCGAACGACGGGGACGGATAAAGTTTACGACTACTACTACATGATGCAGCATCCCATATGACACTTTTACTGCTGCAGGATCATTTTTCTTGCTTGCAGTCGATCACTATCAAGAACATGTGAAGGGAGTCAAGGTATCTTAAAATGGAAGATGTGACCGTAAAGGGCCAGGGGATGATCTACTTGTGTGTGCGCATGAGCCATAGGATCGGGTATAAGCAGTAACGAGAGTGATAAATCGGATGAAGTATTGGGACACAAGGTTAAATACAAGACACGATAAGCTTTTCGATGGGAGAATTAGTAACAGCATGGTCGCTTGAACCATCCAAGCCAACCAAGCTCTTGTTGCCATTCACACTGATAGCAAACATTGGATGTAATGTTATTTCCTCCACGCATGTAACAATATCAATAGTGAATGGCCTATTTCTGTTTGTAGCATAATGCACATCTCACAATATTATGCCGCGTGGACATTAAGTGCTGCGCATTCTACCTCTTTCTTTTCCTCTTTTACAAGACCATGTCGTTTCGACCTCCCAGAACACTCCCCATTCTCACTCTTTTCCACAATGCCAATATCGCCCAATCGCGTGCTGCCTTAGAAATGCTCAAGCGCTCATGTCGACGCGAGGATGGCAATGATGCCTATCGAGTGGACGTTATGGACAAGGACGACAAGCCCACGATAGACCAACTACGTCAAATTGCCAGTTTCCTTCCCAAGCAAGGTGCCGAGTCAGCATGGCATCGTATGGTGCGACCCGATGCTCACGTACAAGATTGGGCCGAGATAGCTAGTGTCATCCACGATGATCCAGGCTTATTGCAACGACCCTTGGTGGTGGATTGGAATCGCGGTGCAGCAGCTATTGGTCAACCCACCATTGATAGCATTGAACAACTCATCAAAGAACGTATCAATCAGAAATCATCATAAATGAATAATGTTGTGTGTGTATTTACTCGATGCTTTGAAGAACGTGTACACGAGATGAAATAAAGCAAAAAATGTAAACAGTAAGGAAGAAGAACTCGAAGTGTGTGTGTTGGTGTGTGTATGGGATATAGTACATCGGATGAATAAGTGATGATGATGGTGGAGTATATGTGAATGAGGTAGAAGACGACAAAGTTAGTGGTGTTTATGCTTAACTTTATGCTTGCGACGATCCTTTTTCTTTGTAGGGAAATCTTCTTCGCCAGAGACGCAAGGTGTTTCAATGTCAAGAACAACAACGTTGCCTCGCTCAAGAACACGTGGATCAGATGGACGCGTTAGCAAATGATGCATATGATCAGCTGCATGCTTCTCTGGAGTACACATAGGAATGCTGTTCACCCATGAGTCGGCAAGGATATCATCGAGAGAGCAGCGTTTGGTGGGATCGGTTTCCAGGATACGTCCAAAAATGGGCCGTGCTTCACGTGGCAACAATTTGAAAAGACGAGCAGCACCATTTGTGGATGGCGTAATAAAGTTTTTGAAAGATTGATCTTGAGAAGGACGTGGTATCCGCCATGGGAAACGGCGAATGGTCATGCAAATAAAGACAATGGCACAACTCCATAGGTCACTTGCTGCAGGATCATAATCAGGTTGGGTGTATTGTTCCGGTGCAATATAAGGATCAGAGCCACACACGCCTAAGAATGATTGATATGAGTATCATGCCACGTGATCCAACGCATATGAGAAAACTTACCCTTGCTTCGATGCATCTTATCTTCAAATGGATACTTGTATACCACGGCACATCCAAAATCAATAAGCTTCACAATACCACGTTCGTCAAGCATCATGTTATCCAACTTGAGATCACGATGAGCGATACCCATTGAATGCAAATATTGTACACCATTGAGCATTTGCCGCCAGCAGCATGCAATTTCCTCACGTGTCATTTTGCCGCTCATGACAATGTTGAACAAGTCGTTGGGTGCGTACTCCATGATTTCATAAAACGATGAGCGTTCTTGAATGATATCCAGTGTCTCAATGACGTTGGCATTGTGTAAGGTGGATCCAATGCAAAATTCGGCAGTGACCTTTTTGACATACTCCTTTTCGTTTTCATGTGGGGCTCTCTTTCGAAACTGCTTGACAGCAAATGTCTTGCCATCCGTGCTCCGACGAATCACACGCACCGAACCACCGGCACCTTTACCGACAAAGCGTCCTAAAACAGCATCAACCAACCATTCGTTACTACCCACTGTATGTTTCACATTTTGCCATGTTCCGCACAAAAGGGAAAACACTTACCCCATTTGCCATAGCGTCCTTCGATATCCTTATTGAACTCATTGGCAAAGCTCAAGTCGCTCATACTGCTACTCGCACTGATGGTAGTTTTGTTTTCGGATACACCTTTCTTTTTCTTGTGCTTGTCGTGTTTGAAAAAGCGTTTGAGTCCATGGAAAAGTGTCTCCTTTTTCTCCAAGTGATGGAAGTGTGTTTGTTTGTACTTTGTATTGTACTCTGGTTTCTTGAACATGAATTGGGATGGTGTTGAGGGTCGACTAGGAATCGATGTTGAGGTGCTGGCACTGGGTACAGGTTGCTCGCCAATGCTGCTCAACGTACGATCATCATCATCATCATCATCGTCATCATCAATATGATTAAGATGGTTGTTCTTGGCATTGCCGCCTGTTGGTGAAGCGGGACGTGAAAGCGATAATGGTGTACTAGGCGAGGATGAGGATGAAATTACAATCTGAGGCGATGGCTGGTTTGATACAATGGTTCCAGAAGAGTGCCGAGCAACGGGTTTAGGTCGTTGTTGTTGTTGCTTTTCACCACTATGATGGGGAGACAAAGATGTCGGGGTATCGACATTGGATGGTGGTTTACGACCAAAGTAATGATGATGTTCAACAACCGGGGACTCATCATGGCTCGCTTCATATTCATCAATGTGATCGTGTGGTGCAGGAGTGCCTGGAATGGATACGTCTGGCGTTACATTTTCGAATTTATGGCAACCACCATCACGCTGATTGTATTGCAAAATCTTGGCTGGTGTATTAAAATCGGCAGCATGAAGATTGTGAACGAGCACTTGCTGAGAGAGGGATGAAGGTCGTGATCGGGTATCTGTATGGTGATGAAGCATAGAAAGTATACAAAGAAAAAGAAAACACCAAGTTTCAATGAAAGAGAAAGAAAGTGAAAGGGAAAAAGATTCGCACACAGATATATAAAAGGACATGATCCAGTGCCTGTTTTAGTAATCGGTCGGCCCATGATGGTCTTTTTGCTTTCCGCAGAATTTGGAAACATGCAAACGTCCTTTTTGGATCACATCGGCTCTTTCGGTCCTGCATTATCTCAGCAGTTTAGCTAATGCGTTTCATCATTTTACATGCGATGGCGACAAATCACGGGGAAAATGGGGTCGATGTGGAAGAAGAATAGCCAATCTCCTAAAAGAAAGTGCGCACTTGTAACGGGAAAAACTCATCACCGATATCATTTTGCCACCCAGCATGAAAGGTTAAGGGTTTAGTTGGCACATGCGTTTGTTGATGATTCATGTGTTTCTCCACAACCATCCAGACCGTGTGGTCGATCTATTGTTTTTTTACGATAACGTGCATGCTTTTTTGTTTATTGTCTTTATCAGTCTAGGCCACTTTGTTACTCATATCCTCCCACGTGGCGGTTGTTCGGGAACCGCCCATCTTAAATACGCACATGCGCTTACATAAAAAGTTGTGCCGATACAGTAGCAGCGATCGTATACATACATATCTGCCGTGTTACAAGGAAAGGTGCTAGGTGCGTGTGTGATTGTTCACCGGGAAAAACCAGCATACTTATCTTGGCTAGACTCGCTTTTCATTGTTTTCAAGAAGCCATTACTATTCAAAGTCGCTGCTGTTGAACAACATAGATGCTATAATCACACTGCCACATCTCGTGCAAATAAGCTGACATCTAATGTTGTGCGTTCGGCACATCTACTTGTTTCCCTTTCTTTTCCCCTGAAACAATAAAAGTGTGACACCCTATCGCTGCCGGTGTACCATTACCCGACAAGCCGATTGCGTGGATCTACGTATGCCCGTAGACTCAAAAGTCATGTGATCTCCAATGAATGTAATTGATCCAAGGCAGCAACGTACACCATCACATGTATGAATGCATGTAAATGTATTATGCAAGGAAGCCAACCCTGGAGGTAATTGTGCGCTCTAATGCTTTATTCCGCTTAATTACGTAAAACAGAGACAAGGAATGATTGTCCAGGAACAACCGACAATGAAATGAAACAAAAGGACGTTGCTAATAATCCATGTCGGGATTCTCGGTTCAGCCCGCCATTGGACATGAGACACCTATATGGGTATTAAGGAAAATGCATTACCCAAAACCTTGATTTTCACTCCATCGGCTTTAGCGAAGGGGCGCTTTCTTTACTTGTAGTATTGCTCCTGATCATGAGCACACCATTTGACGATATCTCACACTCGGCAATAAGATGGCATTGTTATCTTGTGTACAAGCATCTTGTGAGCATCACCATATATGGCATCATCTTCTTATCTACATACGTGAAGGTTGTTAAAACTGTCACCTATAAAAAGAAAGCTATCAATAGGGCATGGGCGACCCTTGCATTAGAAAGCCAGCTTTTGGGGGAGTCAAAAATCATCATGTCCCCGATTGGAATGAAATCTTAATGTCATTTAGCATAAGGAACATCGCGTGATTTAGTATGTTCATGCAGCTCAACTCGCATTTTCGGCTGTACGCAATACTCGGTGAGCTATCCATCTTATTCAAGGAAGCCGACTACTTTCCAAAAAAGAAGGATGCGATCCCACACTTTTCTATACCCTTGACAATGACCCTTCCTTCACAATGACGTCGTTCATGCTGGGATATAGTTTTTTTTTATTCATGCATACCATATGCTCCTTAATCAGTGCCAAAGTACCTATTGTCTTTGTGTGAGAACAATGATCCTTAACATATCCCAAATGATGTATAATCTTACCGACAACCAAAGTCACCAACACCAGGAACGATATACTTGTTTTCATCCAATCCCTCATCGATCTCGCCAACGACGATCTTGACCTTGGGATACTGCTTGACGAATGTCTCGATACCTTCAGGTGCGGCCATCAAGTTCAAAAAGATGATACGATCCTCACGAACGTTGTTATCCAAAAGGACTTTGACAGCTTGCATTGCCGATCCTCCGGTTGCTATACAAGCCACACAACATGCGTTGATTAGCCACCCATTGAAAGCACCATCCTCATTTCTTTCTTCTTACCAAGCATGGGATCCAACAACAATACATAGCGAGATTCGATATCCTTGGGAAGCTTGGCATAGAATAGCTATCAATCTCATGTTAGTAACCAAGGAGATCGGTCTCCAAAGAGTCAAGTTACCTTGGGTTGATGGGTTTCTTCGTCGCGCTGAATCAAAATCTTGCCAATGCGCACGCTCCTGTGTATCCCAGGTAAACAGCGTGAATGACCAGGTACATATTGAATCTCCACCACCTCCTCTTTTGACATTTACCGGCAACATTCACGAAGACCTTGCTCCATGGATTCACCAGCACGCATAATGGATACACCGCAAATACGACCTTCAAAGTCAATACCCTTGTAAGGAACAGCAGTAGGAGTAGACACAGTCTTATCAACAACAGGGAGATGGTTGAGACCTATAGAATACTACTACTATTAGTCTGCTGAGGAATGGTTGCCATGGTGGTGATGGTGGTGGTGGTGGGAACATTGCAATCACATGCCTTCCTCGACCAGCAAGCGAATGATGCGATCAGCATAGAAAATAAAGTCTGCACGAGGAGTATCCCTTGAACGGATGATAGTCATAAGACCCTTGAGTTGTGGGGTGGCAGGCAAGACTTGGACTTGAGGAGGTAGTTCAACCATGATTCGATATTAAGAAGGAAGAAAAGAGAGGAAGAAGAAAAAAATCTTGCAATGCTGCATGTGCTTGAGTATCCGCACGCACGATAAGCATTATGTCTTCCGCTCACCCCCAGCAGTCTACATGTTATCTTTTAGTGGCGTGGTATATTCAACTCAGGATTGGATGGTTGTTCGTGGCACTTTCAGATGACCTCTTTTTTTTTAACCTCATCCGTTGTTGTGCAGCAATGGGATGTGGGGTGAGGTGCCTGAAAAGGATGTTTCCCGATGAATTTGTTTTCTGTATTGTGTATGTCTCGCTATTACGATCATTGGATTCCTTTAATTGATATCATCTTGATATCATTCTCATGAGATTGATTATTATCCCTATAAACAGCTTTTTATATCCAAATCAAGCCTTCATTCCCTATGGAGTAGTGAGTCAGAATTTGATCGAAACCCATTCGATTCTTTGTCTCTTGGCACTTTGTCAGCGAAAATATGGATGATCTTTTCTCTAAAGACTCTTCTGTAAAAAGGGAAATCTTCTATCTTTTTCTGAGTTGAAGCTTATTACATACACAGCCCACTATAACAGCAGCAGCAGCAGCAGCAGGAGGAGGAGGTAGCAGGCTACAAACAAACATTGCCCGAGCCGGCACTTGCACCCACCCGCATACTTTTTTTTTCATGGTCCGCATATCAACTTTCCACCATTCTCTTCTTTCACTTTGCCTTGTCTTTTTAACTCATAAGAGAACGCCACTTTTTCATGTCACAGTGAACATGTTCTACAATGACAATACTTCCTCAACTGGAGAATACAACCATGGGAGACGAAGGGACGACCCCCATTCTCTAGACTCTTACATGCCCACATCGTCCAATTCAAACCATCCTCAACCACAGCCCATTCAACAATCCACCAATAACAGCTCAATCTTGTTTCCTTTTGACAATGCAACTTCTTCTCAACAACCCAGCTCTTCGTACGACCCCTTTTTTTCTATGACTGGTCAAGATACGTATATGGACGATTTCTATAAACATTTGGGTTCTTGGAGCAATCAAGATGCTGCAACCACTCAACAACTGCTTGCATCATCCTTTGAAGATAAGCAACAACAGCAACAGCAACAACAACAACAAGATCCTAGTATGTTCTTCTCTTTGGGTAATCAGCAGGATATTCTTCTATCCGATCCAAACTTTGTGCGACAACAGCAACTATTGCAGGAACAACAGCGAGCTACCATGCAACGTGAAGCACTTCAGCAACAAGATTTCATGGATGACGCTGATATTTCGAATGCATCGGTCATGTTTGACGATATGGAAGATTCTTTTGGAGGAGGTGGAGGTGGTGGTGGTGTTGGCATGGATACCGTTGCTGGGAGCAGTGCACCTATGGATATTCATCAATCTGATCAGCAACAAATACGTTTATCTTATCCTGATACCATGCCTACCATCAATACTTCTGGTGCTGTTCAGGATACCACGAGGACAATGGCATCTGCTAAACCAATCAAAAAGGACAATCGTCGCTCACCTGGCATGAGACTGAAACGAACCAGTAGCCCTATACCCATCAATGCAAGCGGCAGTGCCGCCGTTGCCCATGCAACAAGGTCATCTGAGATCGATCATCAACGCAGACAAAATGAATTACAAGCACGTTTCAGAGTCAACTACAACAAAAAGACATCAAGTGGCATGGCTGGATCTGCACCAAAGACATCTTCGACGCAACAACGATCCTCTCTTGGTGCTGCTGCCGCTTTTGGAACATCAGTGCCAACCATACCAACGACACGTTTTGATGAGAGTACCGGTGCTGCATCATCATTCCCTGCAGGGACATCACCTTTACAAGTGGGAAGCTTTGGCAATGGAAGCACAAGTGGAATGATGAAAGGGGGTCAAGCTACGTCATTTCCTTCAAGAACAATGCCTATCCAGATTCAACGAGTACAACGGCCTCCTAATGCAGTACCCTTTGATGCCGAAGAACATCAACGTCAATTGGATGATCAGTTGGAGAAGGTGGACTTTGACGATATCACTGTATCGGAACTCAAGGACATGTTACGACAACGAGGAAAACCAGCAACAGGAAAAAAGGTGGTGCTTGTGCAACGATTGCAAGAGGAACGTGAATTGATCAAGGCTATAAGGAGTGGAAAGATTCAACGCCATTCTCAACCTCCACCACCCTCATCACGGCCTATTGAATCTGCACGTCCACGTTCATTCCAAGCTTCATCACCTATGGCCATTCATGCAGCAGTGCAACAGCAACCACCCCAATCGCCTATGCTTGGAGCAGGTGGCTCATCTTCTTCAGTGCCTAATTCGTCATTGATGATTCCTGGCTCACCCAATTCGGTTACCATGTCACTCAACAGAATGCATATTGGATCACCACCCATGACAGCACAACAACAACACCCGCGTAGATTCTCGCCTTATGCAACACCAAGCTCACCTCGTCTTGGCTCGTCATCTCCCAAACCACAAAATCAGCAACCGCCACCCTCAGCATCTTATTCGTCTTCTGTGCCAACGAACGCCCTTTCTTCATCACCGGGTAGCTTCACTTTTGGTTCGCCTTTATCTTCCTCTTTCACAAATCGATTTCCTCAACAACAGCGCCAAATACCTACAACGTATGGTAGACCCAAGAGCTATGCACCTTTCACTTCTTCAGCACTTGCAACACCTGATCGTGATGATGACCATGATCCATTCGATGATTACAAGGATGAATCTTCTTCTCAACAACAACAACAACAATACATGGATCAATATGGAGCATCTTCATCAGCTGCTGTTCCTGTCAAGATGGAAATGGACCCAACCATTGAAAGTGTGCTCTATGGTGGTAAGTGTTTCCTCCTTGTTCTTTATATGCATATCCTCATGATGAATGTATGATACAGCAAACACCAATTTTGATATCCCAGAAGGATTTACCGAAGAAGATCTTGCGGCTGTCCTTGCCGGCCAAGGATTCGGCAATCTAGACATGCATTCCAACAATAACGACCCATCTGGAGGTGGTGGTGGTGGTGGCTTCTCATCCAATGATATGGCCCTTTTTGACAATCATGTTTCTCATGCAACACCACGGTGAACAATGAATGTATATGAAACGTTTTGATATAAAGAGATCTCTCTCGCTCGCTCTCTCTTTCCTTTCTATTTCTCCTCAACCCCCCTCACTTAAAGTCATCGTTCATGTATATATTGTGTTGTCGTGTTCTTCTTTTTCTCTTGCGTTTTGATGCTTTATCCTATCTAGAAACACATATAATTATAAATGCATGATCGATCTCGGTCAATCCATCTGCCGGGAATCTATTGGTAGATGACTGCGGATGCTTTGTCGGGGATCATCATTTCTATATTTTCATTCATGTGTGGGAAATGATAATGTTTATATACATACATAGTAGGTAGGAGCGAATAGTAAGGGATGATGATGATGGTGATGATGATGCGATCTATACTACTTGGATTAATCAGCTCAGCTCTATGGGGTCATCCGTTTTTTTTTCTAAATGTTTCCAGAGACGCGATGGTGCAATTCTATTGAGAGGAAGAGATTCATCCAAAAACACTGTCCTATGCTTAGTAATAGCTGGGCTGTTAGTCATACGTGTTTGATTGGCTCGTCATCATCCACCTAGCCCGACGTGCTATAAAAACTCACAACCACGAAACGTATACAGAGTTTTCTTTACCCGTTTGTCTATTTCGAAATGGAAGTCCAATTCAAAGAACCCAAGAACCTTGAAGAGTTCCACAAGCTTATCTCCGAGAACAAGAAGGTACGTTGTGCAGCGTTATGCTTACCCTCACTTTGGCCCAATGCCAATCCTCATGAACGCGTCGCTTTGCTAGGTTGCTATTGATTTCCACGCCACCTGGTGCGGTAAGTCCATAAACATGTTTGGGGGTTCTCTTGACAACTGTGGATTCTCATACAAAGCGTTGCTATACTAAAGGTCCCTGCAAGTTGATTGCTCCCAAGTTTAAGCAGTACGCTGCTTCCAACCCTGACATTACTTACGCAAAGATTGATGTCGATGATGTTGCCGTAAGTATATCATTGGAAGAAATAAGGATGATAAGGAACATAGTCTGATGACAGGATGTGATGTTAAAATAGGACGTCGCTGCTGAAGTTGCTGTTCGTGCCATGCCTACTTTTGTTTTCTACTTGGATGGCCAAAAGTTCGACGAAGTTGTTGGTGCCAACGCTGCCAAGCTTGAGGAAGCCATCAAGAAGTTGGCTAGCGCTTAAGTGCTCTAAGCCTATTCATTTCGTGTATCCGATTTTCTCTCTCCCCCACCCCACCATGTGTATACTCACTGTGAAATAAATACTTGGCATTTGCTATAAACACGATCCATTAAAGGCTGTGCATGATTAGGTTTCTCGGTTACCATCCGACAGCTGTACCCATAAAACACCCACACCAATAAACCTTGTGTATCATCGTCCCAATCCTTAGTCAACAAGTTGTTGCATTGATACTACCTACATACCACGCACTCGTATACATATCCAAATCGACCACGCAGCTAAGCCCATCATCGTATATTGCATTCATCCTCTTTTTCCCCCAACATCCATCACCACAAATGTGTTGAGTTACAGGATTAACAAACAAAAATGCAAACAAACGCACGCGTCCACGTTGATTGGTTGTCAGTCTGGCATTGCATATAAAGAAAGCGCTAAGCAAACACACGCAACCCCCTCGCTTCTTTTCCTTCCTTACTCATCTTTTTATCCCTGCAAAGCTTACAAGAGAACATGCCTGTTACCACCATTACATCGCTTAGCCAATATCATGATGCTATCCAAAACAACAAAAAGGTTGGTGCTGCGAGAAGAGGGTGGCTGCTTTGAATAATGAGGACACTAACACGCGGTCTAGATTGTATTTGATTTCCATGCAGAGTGGTGTGGTGAGTATAATAGATACACTTTCTAAATGAGATGAAGCACTCATATGCTAAAACCAACAATGGCCTTGTTACAACAATAGGCCCTTGCAAGTTAATCGGGCCCAAGTTTGAAAAATTCGCTGATGAGTATGCTGGCATTGCTTATGCCCAAGTTGACGTGGACGCTGTTCCTGTATGTAGAGCGAAGACGTATGCATGCAATGGTATAACACTGACTTGGTACAACTATAGGATGTAGCGGCTGAAGCTGAAGTACGCGCCATGCCAACGTTTGTGTTTTATCATAACGGCAAAAAGGTCAACGATGTTGTCGGTGCCAATGCCACCAAGCTTGAGGAAGCCATTAAGGCATTGGTGAATGCAGAATAGCCAGTGGTTTTGGGGGCATTACATACGCATACCTCCATGTATCTTCTTGCAATACATAGCGGCTCCATTTTTATATTGTTGTCATGCATATGCAAATGACTCAAAAAGATTACTTGTCATGTGATTATGTTCTTTTTCATCATGTCGATTGTTATTGGAAGGCTGGGATGGCTTGAAAATGAATGTGCAGCTACTACTATAATGATTGCTTTGATGAGCTCATCATACCTAAACCATCGTTGAGGAAAGAAAGTAAAGGGAGCCACCCCTTTATAAGGTTAATCCACAATAATTGTCCGGGACAAAGAACTGGCAAATGCAATTTGCTCTTGTAACACCTCCACCACCGGATCATTTTGCTATATCTGGCTCATGAAGAAATTCTACTTCTTCAAGCATTTGCTGTCATGATTCATCCCTTCACCGAGAAATGACCATTCTCGGGTAACAACTTTCAATCTTTTCGAAGCTCGAGCTCCTCGTATTATAAGTTACAGCATTGCTGGATCCAAAAGCTCAATGCGCATTATGAGTCAATAGCGCACTATACATGCTAAGGATGCACGATGCGGGGTAATGACCCTTTTTTGATGAAAACCAACAAGGCTCTCATCTTGGATCGCCATGATCGCTTTTTCCCATGCACCATGATGTTGCTGCCATGTACTACCCAACACAAATTTATTCTTCATCAATGCTCTTGGCTTTTAGAACCGGACAATAGGAATAAAGAACCGGGACAAAATCTGCATGTGAATCCCTAACTGCGTATATAAGCGTGTAGTGCTTGCACAACGGCCAAGGATTGACGACCAACTTTAAGCAATGAAGTTTACATCTATTCTTATTGCCACTGTTGCTGGTGCTATGGTAGCCTCAGCAGCTCCTAGCAGCCGAGAATGCGTCATCAAGCATAATGGCAACGACGATACACAAAACATTATGGATGCCTTTGAGCAATGCAAGGATGGCGGTCGGGTCATATTTTCCAAAGGCAAGAATTATACACTGGGTCCAGTCATCACAACTCCAAAATTGGCCAACGTTGAAATCGTATTCCAGGGCGACCTTGTTTATCCTTTCAACATGTACGTATGACTTGACGTTACGTATCATGATTCATCGTCTCATACATCGGATGACTTAGGTCGTACAATGACACCACTCCTCCTGTGCCTGGTGCTGTGCAAGATGTAAGCAGCTTTTTTACGGTGCAAGGAAAGGATATCAAGGTGACAGGTGAAGGTGGTTCGATTTATGGTACCGGTGAAGAATGGTGGTACTTGGATCCTCTTCCAAGCAATCGCCCTGTGATGATGACGTTCATGGTGGAAAACCTTGACGTGCGCGGCATGCGTTTGATCAACTCACCTAATTGGAACTTTTACGTCCATCGTTCCAAGAATGTACAATTTGATGACATTTTCATTAATGACGTGGATACCGTACATGGCGAGTCTGTGGTAAATACCTTGCCTTTTTGTTAATGACGCATCATTGACATGCCTTTTGTAGCCTCACAACAGCGATGGTTGGGATACCAGTGAGACTGATGGCATTACTATCACCAATTCTTATATCAACAATGGCGATGATTGCGTCGCTATCAAGACCAGTAAGTGAAATGAGGATGCTTCAAGTTGGTAACATTCGATCCAAGAAGCTCATCGAATTTCATCGTTGCCATAGATACAAGCAACATCCATCTCGAAAATCTTTATTGTAATGGTTCCCATGGCATCTCTGTGGTATGATAAACAGCGATCTTGTTGTTGGCTTAATGCATGGCACCCTTAACACTAACCACCATGTATCCAGGGTTCACTCGGCAACATCCCTGAGATGCCTGATTATGTCAGCAACATGTATGTCAAAAATGTCACCTGTGACAACTGCCAAAACGGTGCTCGTATTAAAACGGTAGGTGACATTGTTGTTGGTAATGTGCAATGTGCCTGATTCGTGAATTTGATAGTGGGCATTGGGAGCTCTGGGGGAAGTCCGCAACGTTTCCTACATTGACTTTAGGGTTACCAACTCGGGTAAGATCATAACATCTTCCTTCATGGTTTCCCAAAAGCATGTATCCATGTTCTAATTCTGTCATTAGATCATCCCGTTACTATTGACCAATGCTACTTTAACATCGAAGAAGAGGAATGCAAGGCCAACCCCTCCAAGATCCAAATGAAGGATGTCACTTTCAAGAACATCACAGGTAGCGGCAACAAGAAAGCAGGCTCAGACGTTGTCACCATCATTTGCTCGGCAGAAGCACCATGCGAAAACTTTACGTTTGAGGATATTGATATTGATACCTATGATCCAAGTAGCGTCGAACCCATATACGTTTGCGAGAACCTCGAAAATAGCGAATCTTCAGGCCTTGATTGTTCTTCCCCAAGCGATGATTAGACCTAGAACTTGCATGAAGAATAAACGGTAGCTGACATGGATTACTGCTTTTGAGCGTTTCCTTTATTTTTCATTGTCCCCGAACAATGTACACGGGGTTTCTTTGTGCTCATGGGATTAAACAATGAGCATACTATGTACCTATCCTTGACTCTTTGCCAATCTTAAACCCAACCATGTCTCTTAACTCGTTATTGAGAAGCCATTGATAGCAATGATGAATAGGATGCAACGTGTCTACGATGCAATGGGAAAGCATAATTTGTATCGTAGGTAAGTATTATTATTAATGATGCTACTAGTACACATAAACGAAATTGGGATTCTCCTTGTCAGTGAGATCATCAAAGGCATGGATACCTTCATTATCAATGGCATCCTTTTTCTCCGCTAGGAAGCGTGCCTTTTTCTTGTTTTGACGGATCAAGTGCCATCGGAGAAGACCAAGAACCACTAATAGAATTGCATAGCATACCAAATGTACAGCAAATCCGGTATGATAACGAGGAGCGTCTTTTGCTTGGAAGACTTGGGGGCCTAATTGAGATCAAAGGGTTGATATTGTCGTTGAAGTAAAACGCATTGTGTATCTTACCTATGGCATTACCAGCTGCCCAAAAGACAAAGTTGACTGCAACAGCAACTGTCTTTTTTGTTTGACCGCCTACATTCCGGGTAATGAGTGAAATAGCAAGCGTGGAGGTTGCCCAAAAGCTTAATGCAAGGTAATAGCAGAAAAGCAACCCGGCTTTGGTTGCCAATGTGGTGTTTTCCACTGCCATTAAGACCACTGTTGCAGGAATAGCTCTATGTAAGCACCACAAGGGTTTTCGTGTGAGCAACAATGTGTGTGTGAACCACCAAAATGGTACATATCAAACTCACGGGATGGCATAAGCAATCATGACTAGCACCGTTTGGCCCCATTTTCTCGTGATATAGCTGGATGACAAGAGGCAAAACATAATGTACGCACCGAGTACCATGGCCAACAATTGAGTATCAAGCACACTGAATCCAAAACCCGAAATGATGATATTGGCAAACGCACCGAGGCCCGATGTTGGAAGAGCTATGTACATATAAAGAAGGGTGTTAACAACCTCTGTGATCCACTACCATGATAGCTTTAGCTTCACCTGTGAGAAATGTAATAAGCCCATAAGCCCAAATTTGAGGATCTTTGAATAATCCTTCATACATCTGCTCCTTTCGAAAGGTCTTGTTTTGAAGGCCTGTTTGGTTGGATCGCAACCTTTCGACCATGAGTTTTTTATCTTCTTCAGAGTAACACTTGGCACGCATTGGGCTGTCGGGTAAAAAGAAAAAGACAACAAGGCCCCAAAGGAATGAGAAACAGCCGTATGTCAAAAAGAGAGCCTGCCAGCTTTTCAAGGGACCACTTGTGATATGGGTAAAGGCATATGCAAGTACACCGCCGACAATCTGTTGGAAGCCGTTCATCATGTACCAAAAGGTGACGATCATAGTTTGTTCTTCACGCTTGAACCACATGGCTGATAATACCACCAATGTTGGTTGGCAACTTGCTTCAAAGATACCCAACAAGGTACGGCAAACCAGCAAGCCGACAAAGTTGTGGCAGGCTGCATGACACGCTAATACTGCGCTCCATGCACATACATTGAATGCGAGAAACTTTGCAATGGGGACACGTTGGATGATCCAATTGAGTGGGTATTCGACAATCAAAACGGCAATGTAAATGCATGTTGTCAACCAAGAATACTATGTCATGTATCCATGTTAGAAAATCCCTTGCATTATAAATCCACTTTTCCCCTACGTGTTACCTGTTGACCAACAAGACCGACGTCTTCTGGAAGATTCATGATGGAAGAAAATGATAAGGTGCCTTTATCCAAGGCCTGCAAAAAGTAGGTGACAACCATGATTGGGAGTACTCGGCGATAGAGCTTCCATTTAATACGTTGATTGGTAGCATCGTCAATTTCAACAACATCAGCTGCATATTTGGCCACTTCAGGATCGATACGACTACTGTCACCAACGACGACTTCAGGAGCATGGTTCTCTTTGACATCCATGGATGAGCTTGTGTCCTTTTGTTCGACTTCCGCCATTGCAGTGTCAAGTACCAAGATGAAAGAAAATGAACAAGCGTTGGTGCTACGCAACGCAATGCTTGATCTGCGGCTGTATTTATGCAAAAGCGCGGACAAGGAGGAAATTGGTTTTGTGCACACGCATGTGCATGTTTTGTAAAAGGGCTTACAAGTCATATTAGCTGCCAACAAGCCAAATGCTTACCTAAACAATGATTTGTTTTTCACACCTTCCCACAACACGGATCGAAAGGGCAGGTCACTAGTAGTAGGTAAGCTCCTAATCTCCTTTGAAATTCCCCATCAAGCATCCGTAGGAAATTCCACACATGTAACCATGACGACCGATTCTCATCTCCTTTTTTGGATGATCATACCCCACAACAGCAACCTCATTGTTTCAATACGGGTGGGTGGCATCATCGACAAAATAATGAAATGCATGGGCGATCATTGTCAATGATGCAGCATTGTTTGTCTCGGAAGGTTTCAGTTTGGTTGTTGTCGATCCATAAATGCAGGTAATGTTTGTGTGTGTGTGTGTGATTTTCATTGTTTGTCTTTTTTTTCTTGCTTCAGCCATGTACTGTGTATGGTTGATTCTAGGTTTTCTTGTGAATCTCATTGTTGCACAAGACTCCACAGTGCTTGATGTGCTGCCTAACAATGGAGCTGGCGCTTTCTACAATGCCTTAACGGCTCACCATCATGATCTTGTCGACAAGCTGAAAAAGGCGGATGGATCATTTACATTGTTTGCACCCACGGATGATGCATTACAAGCCTCTGGATTGGATGTCTCAAGTTCCAATGCTTCGGATGTCTTCCAGTATCACTTGTTGGATAATGCACGATTGTCATTGAAAGACATACATTCGGAGCCGCGGCTACGTAATAGCTCTTACATACCTGGTAATGGCAAACGGCATCACATGCCCTATTTGATGGGTACAGGACCCGATGGTATATGGTCATATGGCAACAAGAGCAAAATTGTACATGGTGATATACAAGCATCCAATGGCGTGGTTCATTTTGTTGACAAGGTACTTCAATTACCTGCACCAGCAGAAGATGTATTGCGATCCATGCCAGAGACAAGAGCATTTGCCGAACAGCTTCGTCAGCTCAACATGTCCTTGTCACTTGTCACACATGCCACCATCTTTGCACCAACCAACGACGCCGTAGCCAAGCTCAACTCCACCATTCCTGATACACCTACTCGAGCACTCACTTTGCAGCATCTCATTATCGACAAATCATTCTCACCCATCGTACTCGCTCGGCGCGATAGCGTTGTCAATGAACATGGCATGGGTTTCAACGTCACGCATAACAATGATACTCAACATCCCGCATCCATGATCCAAGGTGTCACGATCAAAGTACCAGATCAAATTTACAAAGATGGTATTATTCATATCACGGATGGGATCATCTTGCGTGGCGGCCTTGAACAGCCTGATGTATCACTACCAGAAAAGCTTCCGGATACGACCTCTTTTTCCACTTCACTCGATCCCCTTTCCATAGCCAGTAGTACCATGATGATCATGAGTGTTATCTTTTTTGTATTTGCAGATGGTGTGTGATATAAACGATAGGATGAAAAATAACATGAGAATGTCAAATCTTTTTGCGTGGTGTGTATAGCTATATATACTGTGAGATGAGTGTGTGTAGTACAAGGCATTAAGAAAGGAGGATGTTGTTTATGAGGAGGGTTGAATTACGATAATCGTAATATCATGAAGAAGAGGAAGAGCACAAGATGTTGGATAGGAGGAGATTTTCGGTGTTGACAACGTTGCATGGGCTTTGGGTAGTGCCTGGACAAACGTGTGCATTGATACCAAGGCGATGTGTATCCCAAAGAACAATACGATCGCTTGCCATGTGTTGTACTGCATGACGCATCACGTTGGCAAATGCATGGCTACGGCCTGCATTCCATGACGTGCCATGAATGGTGCCACAGCAAAAGTATTGTGGGGTACGTACAACAATCGTCTGTGTTGGATAGACCTTGGTCATTAAGTGGATCAAGAATTCGGTAAAGGCGTGCCAGTATTGTCGTGGTGTTAACCGGTTTTGCTCAATGTCATGGTTACCAACGCCAACAATCACCACATCAGCACGTGGGATATCCTCTTGTTGTAGCACATCACGCCAATGGCCATCCATGCCAATGCTGTTATCCATGATAAGGTATTGAACATCCGTATTTGCAGGCCATCCACTAGTAGCAGCATCAAGGACAAGCTCATCTTCATTATAGCCGCACTTGTCATTATCATCGACCACACTACAATCTTCACCCGAGGCAAACGAACGCATGTTTCTATGAAGGTTTACAACACGATTAGTATTTTGTCAGCAGCATCATGTGCATGGTTGGTTTTACCTCCGCACGTGAATATCGCCGACAACATGAACGTTTTTAGCATCAAGGCATTGGGCTGCTTCAGATGGGGTGATGTCGCGCAATTGACAAGTGTCGGGAGTATAAATCAAAAAATCGGAATCAACCATATCATCCATCGTTTTGTTGATCCAACTACCGGCTGTTGCATGAGTGGTATCGCAATACGATTGGGCTTGGTCAATAACGGGTGGTGTGTTGACCGTGACCCGGTGATGTGAGGTATAATGGAAAGGTCGGTGAGCGTGATAAATAGGGGCTTCCCAAAAATAGGAACGGTATTCGGTGGTGCTTTCAAGGCGATAGGTGTCAGGGTGAGCAAAGTGTACAGCGCTATAGTATACGTTGCTTTGTTTGTGGTGCTGTTGTAGCGTAATTGGAATCAAAACATGATCGCCCACTGCTTGGATTGTGATGCTGTCAGCTGGTGCAAAGTGCGTTTCAGGTCGTATAGCACCCACGGCTGGAATTGGTCCAAGCTATGGAAATCAATTCTCGATTTAGTCCAAGCCTCACACATACGCACGCACACACCCCCTCCCAAACTAAGCATCCCCACGTGGGGAGTTACAAGGATGCAAAGGAATAAAGTAACCTACCAAAACAACAGCACACAAGCTGTCACCAGCTTCGATGGTAAAGTTTCTCGATGTATACTTTCCATCGGGTCGCATGAACATAGCTTTTGATGCCCAACCATCCCAATGCGTACGATCCGATGCTCTATTTAAATACATCTTTACTCAGTTTCATTGTCTCAGTGGAGCCAAATTTATGGACTTGGTATCGTTCAAACTTACAGCCAGCTGAAGTCTACTTTATCACATGCAGTTGTTTCGTTGGATAAAGTGCTCAATGCCGAAGAAGGAGGTGGGGGTGGCGAGATGATGGGTTGTTGTTGTAGCTGTTCCTCGGGCGATTGTTGTAACACGGATGATAGTGGTCTGTCGATTTGATATGCAGCATGCCGAAAATAAGTTAAAGAGAATAAAAGCGTCAACAGGACAACAATGAGAACAATGTTGTGTCGCTGAAGAGAAGAATACATCTTCCTCGTTTATGAATGTATACGTGAGGGTGTGATATGAAGAGAAAAAAGGTGAAGAAAAGGAAAGAAAGAACAGGAGCAACCTTTTTTACGAGAAGGGGACACAGCTTCCTTTTAGCGCAGATCCATAATCTCCGCCAGGTTTTCAGGATCGACGTTCGTTTGTGTAAGGAATGGCCGACTTCTCTTGATTGTACGACTTGATAGACGGCACAGCATATTGGTCAAATAAACTAACTCTCTATAACTTGGACTCATGCGGGTGTTTTGTGTGGCGTGGTGCGTAGAAGCAATCGAAGCAATTAACAAATACACTTACCTTTTACTGCCCCAGCCCTTGGCACTCACTCAAATCTCACCCGTAAAACACCTCCTCCTCCCTTCTCCTCATCTCTCTCTCTCTCTCTTCTTCTCTTCTTGGTATGGTATATCATCGTCATCTCCTTGTGATAAAAAATTATGTTCCTGAGCGCGCCGCATCGATATCACTAGAGTAGTCGACAGCATACGTGACACATAGACTTGGGACTAAAAAAGCCCTTTCACCACTCATCATTGATGATACAATCTTTTTTGATGCACGACGGCTGTGATTGTCGTTGTTATTCTATTTTTGAGAATGTGACCAAAAATGGGACTTGACAAGCAACAACAAGACATACGTTGTACGATGATACATGCCCTCTCTCTCTTTCCCTCTTTTTCTCCCTCAATGCTTTATACACAATAGATTGCATAATATCGCTTATCATCATGTACACCATGAACACATAAATACACGTATCTTGGAAGCACTTTTCATTAACAATACTTGTCACTGTCACTGCTGGGGACAATGGCTGGGTGAACAAAGAGCATACCATCACAGCTTACTGCTGCTGCTCCTGCTCCTGCTGCTGTTGCTGCTGCTGCCTTTTTTTCGGAACTCCACTTTTTTTCTTTTTCCCTTCCTTCTCTCTTTCAACATTCACATACCCCCTCCCCATGTCAGGGAACGCGAGCCATGACCAAATAGTTCCCGACGGCGAAGCTCATCCCAAGCAAGAGCAACAACAACAGCAGCAACAAGATTCAACCCATAGCAACCCTGACAGCCAAAATGAACAAAACGACGACCCAAACGACGCCATCATGACCGATGTCCAACGGCAGTCGTTAAGTGTACAGATCGGTGACAGTCTCAATGCCATCCAATATCCAGAGTTTTTGCGTACAATTGGCGATTCGAACCAGATCCATACACCATGGGCAGATATCCAACAAGCAATAAAGGCAGCAATACTTGAGGTACTACAACGTGATACAGTGTCATAGCATCTACGCGATCTGATACACGACCATAGCAATGCGAGATTATGGAGCCACAAGCGAGTGAACGCGATCGTAGCATTATCGAAGGAATCAAGACGAATATTTTGCATGGATTGGAACGCCATGAAAGGTACTTCAGGCACCTATTTGACAGGGGAGGAGAAGGACACGTTCACTGATTATGGGCGATCCAGGCCACCATTTACAATTCAACGTCTTTGTGAGCTTATCATCGATCCCAAACGCCATTATCGAATGTATATCAAATACATGAATGCAATTGAAAAGGTAAAGAGAGAGGATGGATATCTATGTTTGTTTTCATGCGTCCTATGAATTCTTGTTGATGGCTCCTTTTCAATCAGGTCCTTACCGTAACATCGGCATGGAACGATTTTATCGAGCATACAGACGCCAATGGATCATCAAGTTCAGCATCACACTTGGCAGAAGTTGGTGGATTACTGGGTGTAGGCGACATTGGTGTGGAGCAGGAACCGATCACCACTGAAGCAAATGGACATCAGGAAGAAAACAAGGACGACAACAACGACAACGGCAATAATATCGACGGCATGGATGTAGACTCGTAATTTTACATACAACATACAGCATTAAAGAATCAACAACATTATATTACACAAATGATCGGCGTGGATTGAGATGTGGGCTTTTCTTCTTTTATCCCAGGGAAAGAGAGAGGTGGTCAGTTGCAAAGTGAATACGTCTCCTCGGTCGTCGTATGTTTATTGGATCAAGACGTTTAAAATGACACACACACACATACACACGACCTATGATCGGCAATGGATGGGGCTCAACAACAAACCGAATGATGAAGCGAGAGGCATATGCGTAGTCGTCACGCACACTTAAACAGCATGACAAGGGTCCTATCAACCCCTCCACCCCCCAAACCTTCTCTCGCTCTCTCCTGTTCACAAGCGCCCCTTGTCCTGTCAATAAGGAATATGCAAGACCACTGCAGCAATGTTGTGAGTGCGTGTGCGTGTGTGTGTGTGGTGTCCCAATTTGAGTTGCAGGATTCACGTTTCCATTGTCGTGTGCACTGCCACCACCCATATCATACATGTCCCCTGATGATAAAGCTGGCAGCAACATGATTCTTTTACATCACATTTGCCGAAATCACTGTATTTTGCATGTGCTCTTTTCTACAATGCAATCATTCTTTGATGACTCGTATCAGTGTGTGTGTCTCTCTCTCTTTTCTTCCATGCAAAAGTTACCAAAAATGTCATTATTGCAATGCGAACGGGTGTGCGGCATCAGTAAAGGACAAGACGTATGCAACTCACATATCCAGTTGACCATGGAGAGAAGAGCACGTTGCGTACATTATGGATGAGAGGAGTGTGCAATAAGAATATTTGTTATCAATACATATACACCTTCAAATTCTTTGTTACATACTCTCTCTCTCGCTCTCTCTCTCGTTGTCTTTCCTTATACATATTCTTTCTCTTATTTTTCTCCGGCCCCTATTTTTATTCTTGCGTATACACAATAACAATCGTGCTGGGCTCTTGCATGAATAATACGGCACAAGGCTAGGGAAAGTTCCGATCTCGTCCCATTCCTTTGATATTTCCGCCATTGACCACACACGCACAAGCACACACGCACACGAGTACCTGCTCACAGCAATAAGGCTCTGCCTATAATCACGCAACATCATTGAGAGGCAATCCAAATTGGAAAAGACAGCATACTCGCATAGACCATCTTCTTTTTCTCTTTTTGCTCTTTTTATTTGTAACTGTTGATTTGTGTACATCTCTCTTTCTCTCTTTTTCCCTCTTCTCCTTTCCCGCTTTCATTCGTCTTATTCCCCTTTTTCATTTCAAGTGTTCGTTTGCATCCTTCTTCTCTTCTACATGAATTCCCCACTCCAACAGTTCTCCACCCATGGATACAACGTTTTCGATCATGGTCGTTACTTTCCAACAACATTACCACAACAACAACAACAACAACCGATGACAACGACAACAACATCATCAGAAGACTTTTTTGATGACGAGAACCAGGTGCCAACACCATCACTATTCAGTGACATTGTTGAAGACTATCTCAACAATTTGAGTCCCAAGAAACGGGACAAAGCATTGGTGGATCAAGAACGATACCAGATGATACAACAAGTACTCAAGGATCCAAGGAACACCGCCATTTCCACTGCCCAATTTCGGTTCTGGGTGAAAAAGATGTTCCAATTGCAGCCTGGAACAGTGGATCTTGTATGTCATGATAGCAAACCTGTTGCTATGCGCGAGCAAATTTATTCTATTCTTGTCAAGGCACATCGAGAAGCACATCATGGTGGACGAGACAAGACATCAGCATTGGTATGTTAACACAAATCATATCATCGTATTATCATGTGGATTACTTATTATCTTAAAGGTGAGGCGAAAGTATTCATGGATACCCAAAGAATTAGTAGCAAGATTTGTACGGCATTGCCCATTTTGTATCACTCGTCGAAATGGTGGCCAAAGCCCTGGGATGTATAAGAGCAGCCTTCGATACAATAGCAATGCAGCGGCTGCTGCAGCGGCAGCGGCAGCGGCAGCAGCGGCAGCAGCAGCCACCGTGAACAATTCAACCACGCGACAACAACATCAATGCAACTTTGATCCACCACCCATGTTGTGTACACCATCAATTCAAGAAGACAGTGACATAGCCTCTTCAGGTCCACCTTCAACCGAAAATGGATATGATACGTCACCCCACCATTATGTACCATCACCACCAAGGCGTGGATCCCACATTGGCGGATACATGTATGATCGTGAAGAAGAAGAATTTCTACATAGCTACGGTCACTATGAACCTGAATCCAAGGGGACATTCCAACAGCAACAACATAATCCGTTTCATCAACTCTTAAATGATGCAGCACGATCGACACATTCTACGCACCACCAAACTACCACCATGATGGCTGATACAAACAACAATAATAATACTACGCCAACGTCAACAGCAGATGCTGCTGCTGCTGCATTCCTTTATCAACACCCAACAGCAGCCTACATGGGCTATTCGTATTACTATCCAAATGTACTTGGCATTGCACCCGCATGTGATAATAATCAACAAGCAAGTTTCCTACGAGCAGGCGGTAATGATGACGATAATGCTACACTGCCATCCACTACTAGCACTGCGGGGATTCTTGCACATCATCAAGAAGAGCAACAACAACAACAACACGCATCCACCAGATCAACTTTGCCTTTCAATTTACCGGTTCATCATTCCACCACCACTACAACAAATCATTTCATGACTACCACCACACATCACGATGACACAACTACTAATGTGCTATTGCAATCATATGAATAAGGGAAAAACCACCACGTTGTCGTTCTGTTAATACCTCTTTTTATCACCACAAGTTATCCTTCATGCCTTTTTCTATAGTAACCTCCTCCATCTTTACCTATATATCATTCTTCTTCTATATACATACATATATACACACACAAAATTGCTCAAAGGCTTTCTTTATATTCGACATGTTTAAAAATGTCTTGCCGGAATAAAAACAAATGATGTTTATACTAAGGAGGTTGTAATGTCAAAGATGCATTGACAGCTAGCTAAACGACGCTATGGTAGCATCAAGTAGGACGACGCAGCATGACTCAGAAGGATCGAGAACTTGTCAGCAGCCCATGTGGTCTTGTGTGCGTGTGAGAAATGCATAATGTTGGAATCGGCTGGGTTGTCGGGCATACATACATAAGAAGCGCCTGATGGTGGGTGGGGTGGGGGAGGAGGGAGGACCATAAATATGTTGTTGGGCTCAAGTATGTGTTACATTGCATGTAATTCTATTCTTCCACCATTGTCCTCATCATAATGAGGATTCTGCATTGTTATTGTGGCACCTTCATCTCATAGAATGAATGTTTATTCTCATCCATAATTTGCTGAATCAACCTTGTTTCATATTCCCAAATCCATTGTTTCAAGAAAACATTGTATGTTTACAGAGTACACAACATCAACACGTGAGAGAAAGGGTCCAACGTGTAACCGAATCGAGGCAAAAAGTCAAGCGAACACCAAGAGGATAGAATTGGCAAGAAATTTCTCACGATAATCGGGAGCACAGGACAACCGAGATATAAGGGATAGGGGTGATGATCCCATTGGATCACTAACTCTCAGTGGGAAACAAAAAGTGTGTATTGTCATGTCGAATGGTTTCCTTGGATACAAGGTTTTCAGCTCCGGCAAAGCTTAGATTATTGTTACACGCAGGGTAGAAACAAAAGGATCATTCATGGATCCTCCGCCATAGATGCAACAACAGCAGCTCTTCATTCATCACCAGTTATCTTTGATCCCGTCTCACCCTCCTCCTACCCCCCTTGTTTCTTCTTTTTTTCTTCTTTACAGTAGCCTTCCTTGCTCTTTGATTCTCTTTCTTTCTTCCTCTCACACACGCTCTCTCTTGCTCTGTGCTTTCGAATGGACATTCCAGGCCATAAGCGCTCTGAAGACAATGCACGATCACTCTTGAATGGTGACGATGCCAGCCAGCATTACGGTGCAACCACAACAGACGATGCGGCCCAAGTGGCTTCTTCAAGCTCACCTCGAGTGGTGCCTACTTCTCGATCTTTCAGTGAGCATATTGAAGGCCTTGTAGGCTCGTACACACGTACATCTTTGGCCTATATGACGGAAAACTTGCCGATACCATCTTCAGCCCAACCATCCCCCGCTGCTGATAAGCTGGTAAGTGCATCATTCTCTATCATCCAATGACATTTCAATGCTGAGTATGTATTATCCCCATCTCCCAGGCAATACCAGATGAGGAGCAAGCGAATTATTATCAAGGAGATCAAAGCTCTCTTCTTTCAAACCAGCATTTGTAAGTTGATGTTTTATTGTTATGTGTGTGGTGTGTGTGTGTGTGTGGCATGTGAGCCGATAAGAAGGATATTCCAATGTAACCAAATCAGGGGGAAACAAGCTATACCTGTATGCTGATTGGGCGGGGGAAAACAGGAAGGATACCAAAAGATGGATGGATGGATGAATGGATGGTGACTGACATGGTATATAGGTATGCATTTTCAGATGATCATCGACGACCTTCGTACTATGACTCAACTCACTTGGGACCTACACCAGCAACAGGTGGTGATGATCGTTCATCGTTACTCTCGTTCCATGACAGCACTTACAGCTTTATCGAGCCTACTTATACCAACACCAGCAAGGATATGGATTCCACCACCATTGCTGATCATCATCAACCTGTGGCAAAATCATCTTTTTGGCAAGCCGTATTCAATTCAACCAATATTTTAATGGGTGTTGGTATTCTTGCATTGCCACTTGGGTTCAAGGTATGCGTGTGTATATGTGGCACCTAAATCGATGCGTTATTCATGTGCTATTCTATTCGTGTATAGCTTGCAGGATGGGTCATCGGTACATTGGTGTTTATTTTTTGTTTCGTTGTGACCAACTACACTGCCAAGATCCTTGCCAAATGTTTGGATGGTAATCCTGGTGCTCAAACATATGGAGATGTCGGGTATGCTGCATTTGGTACGCGTGGTAGAATGTCTGTCTCTGCCATCTTCGTCACTGAATTGGTTGCAGTATGGTACGTAAAGTGCAAGGAAACGAAAGACGTCGTGACTAAATTAAGGCTATATGTATATATCTAGTATTGCACTGGTGATCTTCCTTAGTGACACCATTTCTTCGTTATTCCCCTCCCTTCCACGCATCATTGTCAGCTTGATTTCATTCTTGGTCTTAACGCCCATGTTATTCGTACCTGTACGCCATTTATCCTATGCCAGCTTATTGGGTGTTCTTATTGCTGTCAGCATCCTTTTCCTCTTGCTGTTTGATGGTTTCACAAAACCTGATGCACCAGGTAGTCTGATCGAGTCAGCGGTAAGTGCGTGGGTGTGCGAATTTATAAACGTGGTTATATGTCACAGGAGTGGACTAATTTTATTGTTTCACCACATTTAGGAAACGGAGATCTTCCCATCCAACTGGCGAGTCATGCCGCTAAGCTTCGGTCTCATAATGGCTGGATTTGCAGGACATTCCGTGTTTCCCCACCTATACAGGGACATGGAGAACCCGAAAGAATACGAATCCGTTGTCGATTTGTGCTATGTAGCAACAGCCATTGTTTATTTCTTTGTGGCTGCATGTGGCTATCGCATGTTTGGGGTGGATACTTTGGAAGAGGTAAGAGAGGGATCACACTTTTATCAGTAGGAGGAGGTAGGTACATTAAATTTTCTCGATAGATCACGCAAAACATTGTTGCTATACCCGAATACAATCGCCTAGTGAATTTGACCGTGCTATGGTTACTTGCACTTAACCCTGTATCCAAATACGGTTTGTCACTAAAACCGGTTGACACAACATGGCAGCTTGCTTTATTACGGCATCCAAAGATCGACGTGTGGTACAAGGAGAATCCGAGATATGGCCGTGTGTTACTTGGAATAGGCACGCTGATACTTAGTGCGACGATTGTGCTGATGGCCTATTTGGTACCTGGCTTTGACAATGTTATGGGCTTATTAGGCGCCTTTTTTGCATTTGTGATCTCTGCTATATTCCCACTCATGTGCCATCGCAAATTATACCAAAGCTCTACACCGCGTTGGCAAAAGATCCTTGACTATATCCTCATTTTCATTTCCGTTGTCATGGCAATTGCCGGTACTTGGGCAAGCATTACAAAGTAACAACCCTGTATAAAGTAATACACATAGAGATAGTAGAGAAAAATAAGAAGGATGGAGGATGAACTAACGTAATAAATGTTGTTGTTTTGTATACAAAAGTGGGATGATGAATGATGTTTATTGAACAATAGGTTGCCTACTTGCTGTTGTACAGCAATGAATTGACATACGGTGTGTTTGACCTGTCAACGAAAAACATGATCTTTATCTGCTTGTTGTGCGAAGGGGACATAACATGAACGAAGGAAGACTTGTTTTACTAGTGTATTGAAGGATTGAAGATGGCCTTTATTGAACATGAAGCTATTCCACTGACTGACGCTGGTTGTGCTGCTCTATCAACAAAGTACAATTCCATGACCTCGGCAGACAAAGAAAATATCCAATCGTATGCAAGCTGCATTAACAACCTTCCCATTTAGGAGCCCGTCAAACTGCAAGCTACCAGGAGGTCTGCTTCGATGGGTATGGACGTCCCTTTATACTGACTCTAATCCTTCGACCGAACTCACAACTTCAAAGGGGACTATCATCTTCAACACCATGCCGAAAATATTGATTCCATACTCCCCGTCATGTCAATGTCTGCATCCGCCTTCTCTGCTAGGTGTCAAACACATTGATGATGGCTATCCATTGTCGACAGGTCCCATAAAAGTTGATGAGAGTAGTTGCCGTATAATACGGTGTAAAACACGATAATTGGATGTACCAATCCTTCAAGATGATAGCATCAAGGTCAAGAGACAATGGATGCATAAGAACAAAGGCTCTTCCTCCACGCTTTGCATATATCCAACCCCATCCGTCCCATATACCAAACCAATGCCCATATCCATATCCATATCCATAGTAAGTTGTATGTATTGAAACAAGTTGCTACACGTAAATAAAGCTGCTTCTATGCAACGGCTATCTGCTGTCCACGTAACGAAGGCTGTAAGGCATGTTGCTGCAAGTAGAGAACACTGTTTGAGACAATGGAGTAAAGGCCTTGCTAATGGTAGCTGCTGCAAATGAATGCTGTTACCATCGGCCGTGATTGAGGAGTATACAAGAGAAGATACAGTGTCAATGGAAGGCGTGTGTTGTAGTGGGGTGCACGCGCCAAGCACTTGCCATTCAGTCAAAGACAATCGGATCAAGAGAGTTGTAGGGTTGACATGATGGGTTGAAGCAGGACAATCGTTCGCAGGTGGTATGTAATTGTATACTTGAATGGGGTAACAGATGAGAATGGGAGGAAGAGGGAAGAAGTTGAGAGTGGGAAGATCTGGAAATCAAATAGTTTTTTTTCTGATGCTTGGATGATCTTTCTTTGTACAAGCGTTGTTCAATCAAATCCTCTCGGATCAAGAAAGTTGAATGATGGGCATGAAGGGCTGGAGCAGAAGAATCGTTCACATGCATTGTATTGGACAACAAAGATGAATGGGAGGAATGGGCTATTAGCTGGCAGTTTACAAATAACTATTCAAAATGACGGTTGTTCATTCAAATCCCCTCGGATCAAGGAAGTTAAATGATGGGCATGCTGGGATGGAGCAGGACAATCGTCCGTATGCATTGGATTGGACAACAAAGGTGAATGGGGGGAATGGGCTGCTAGCTGCCCATGATGGGCTGTTACTGAATATGATACATTGCCCCTTCCAGTCATGCATAATGAGCTGAGTTAAACAAACACGGCCCCTCTGCATCTTCGGCTCTATTGTAACCATACTATTTGACAATGAACAAAGACCACTCTTCATATGGCATCACCCTTACAGCATATGTAAAACATAAAGGTGCCTGTATCTCCAAACTTTACAATCAAACGTGGGCTCTTTAATAGATCAACGTGCTCGACGGGGTCAAAGGAATCTTGTGTCAAAGTATGAAGTTCATCGTGGGCAATCCCAGATCTCGCAAATGTCGCCACCAGCCAAACTGGATTCGGGGGTCGACCTCTTCGACGACGACGACCAAAAAAAATATTTTTGGGCTAATTGCGACATTGAACGCGAAACTTTCACACAAGGTGCTGTTGGCCAAGCCGAGCACATTGCTCTAATAAAAACCCCACGTTCCATTGTAAAGTTTGGAGATACAGGCATCTTTATGTTTGTAAGCATGATGCTATATGAAGAGTGGTCTTTGTTCATTGTGAAGTAGGTGGACCCTGGCAGAGCAAAAGATGCAGAGGGACCTCTTTGTGTAACTCAGCTACTTTGCATGACCGGAAGGATGGAAGGATGATACTGTATACTATTGACAATAGCCCATACATTGCGAGCTAACAGTCATCTCCTCATAATCGGTACTGATGTCCATTCTATGACATGTGAACAATCCTCCTGCTCCAGACATTCATTTCCATCATCCAACTTCCTTGATCCGAGCTGATTTGAGTGAGCTACGCTCAAACACGATTACATCAGTTGAGCAACATAGAGCATGCTATAATGTGTGGATTGATGTAATCGTGTTTGAGCGTAGCTCACTCAAATCAACTCGGATCAAGATAATCCAATCATGGAAATGAATGTCTGGAGCAGGAGAATTGTTCACATGTCATAGAATGGACAACAGTACTGATTGTGAGGAGATGGCTGTTAGCTCGCAATGTATGGGCTATTGTCAATAGTATACAGTATCATCCTTCCATCCTTCCGGTCATGCAAAGTAGCTGTGTTACACAAAGACGTCCCTCTGCATCTTTTGATCTGTCAGGGTACAGCTAATTGACAATCAACAAAGACCACTTTCCATATGGCATCACGCTCACAGCATAGGTAAAGCATAAAAGTGACTGTATCTCTAAACTATACAATGTACTGTGGGGTCTTTAATAGAACAAAGTTGCTCGCCGGGGTCAACCGGATCATGTGTGCCAGTTTCACGATCGTGGTGGCCATTCCAAGATTTGCCAAATGTCGCTGCCAGCCAAAAAATATTTTTCGTCGTCGTCGAAAAAAATTCAAGAGGTCGACCTGATCCCATTTGGCTGGTGGCGACATTTGCAAAATCTGGGAATGGACACCTCGATCGTGAAACTACCACACAAGGTGCGTTTCACCCAGCCGAGCAGGTTAGTTCCATTAAAGAACCCACGTTTGATTGTAATGTTTAGAGATACAGGCTCCTTTATGTTTTATCTATGCCGCCGTAAACGTGATGAAATATGAGATGTGGTCTTCGTTCAATTTCAAGTAGCTAGTCAAAAGATGCAGAAGCATTTGTTGTGCAATTAAGCCGAGAGGGGCGGGACTTCAAGAGTCAATCTTATTGGTTGAGATTGCATAATGGTCCCTGCCCCTATAGTAGATCCGCCTATGAAGACCGTATGGAACCATAGTATGGTGAACAGGCCAAAATGAATCAGTGCATCCGAGAGTATTCGTGCGAAAGGATGAGAGTTGGTGGGGATGACATTGTTTGTCCATGGATCGTACTCATCCAAGATTATGCATACAAGATAGCGGTACATGCTGAAAGGTGTCATAAGTAAGCATATGCATGTACTCGTTTCATGTTGTATCAAAGCTCACTTTTTCCTAAGCGTAAATGACTTAAGCCTTCAATGGATCAAACTTTTGTAACAAGCCCTATTGTTGGTTACCATGACTATGGGTTTATTATCTTTGATAATACAAGCGTCTATTTAAGCCTGTGCACTATCCTGAAACTTGCCACTGCCTATCGTCTATCAGCATACGACCAAGGAAGCTTAAAGAATGTGATGTGGTGCAAGCAACCAAAGCGTCTCGATGCAATGATGTAGATGATCCAATCTCGCTTTCCAACCTTCACATTTCTATCCTCCTTTCATCCCCGAAACCAATCAAGTGGGCCACGTAGAATCAATGGGTATCATTGTGTCATTGTATCCTTAGTTGCTGCCGCCATAAACATCTTCACCCATGATTGCAAACTCTTTGCTGTGCGTGCCTTGACTCCAATACCCAATACCATCCATGATGGCAAACCGCCTTTCCTCAAAGATATAAGTCCTCTCATCCATGCCATCCAATCCATCATCATCCTCATCCGTATCCATTTAACATGATCCATCCTTCCTGATGGTGACGTGTCAAGTAACCATAACGACATCAAGATCCCCTCTCACAGTGCTTGATTGCACCCATCCACCCATCCATCCATTACCATTGCAACTTCAACATGTTGATACAAAGAACCCCTGTGGTCGCTTCCTTTTCCATCCGGCTATTGGTCAATCTCTTTCTTGGTCATCTTCTATCGCAGCTCAACCAGATCAAGAATGCTTGATTGATATGGTATCATCCATAAGGATCCGTATGTATTGAAAGCAAGTTGCAATGCGTAAATAAAGCTGCTTCTAAACAATGGCTATCTGCTGTCCACGTAACGAAGGCTGTAAGGCAAGTTGCTGCAAGTAAAGAACGCTGTTGAAGACAATGGTGAAAAGCCCTTGCTAATAGCAACTGATGAAGTGAACGCTGTTATGGTTGATTGTGGCAGACGAGTGTACAAGAGAAGGTGCAGTGTCAACGGAAGGCGTAGGTTGTAGTGAGTTGTACCCGCCATTGGGCTTGCCATTCAATCGAAGTCTTTCGGTTCAAGATAGTTGTAGGATTGACATGATGCGTTGAAGCAGGACAATCGTTCGCAAGTGGTAGTTGTACTTGAATGGGGCAACAGTGGAAATTAAAGAAATTTTTCTGATGCTTGGATTTTCTTCCTTTGTACAAGCGTTGTTCAATCAAATCCCCTCGCATCAAGAAAGTTGAAGGATGGAGACAATGGGATGGAGCAGAACAATCGTTCACATGTATTGTTTCAGGAAACAGAGGTGAACGGGAGGAATGGGCTCCTAGCTGGCAGCTTACAAATCATTAATGATGTTTCTGTGTTTGAGCATTTTTCAGTCAAATCTCATCGGATCAAGAAAGTTGAAGGATGGACATGCTGGGCTGGAGCAGGACAATCTTTCACATGTATTGGTTTAGGTAGCAAAGGTGAATGGGAGGAATGGGCTGCTAGCTGGCAATTATGAGTTGTTACTGAATAGTGTACACAGCATCATCCATTCATGCTTCCAGTCATGCAAGGTGTTGTAAAGTGTCCGCTGCTGGTCGTGTTTCTAACACTCTCCTGCATTAGCGCCGTTGAGAGTGCATGTCCTATATAAACCTGTTCGATGCAAATAATAAGCAACAGCTCTTTCTTCCCCTTAAAGCTCCTTTGCAATCGGTTCATTGCATCGTATACGTTGCTGCTTGTGTGAGTTGATGCTCAGCTCTTAGGGCGGTTGAGTATTACAGCAGTCCAAGATCGCATTACTACACCTTGCATGACTGGAAGGAGTGATGGATGATGTTTTATTTACTATTCAGTAACAGCTGGTCATTGGTAGCTAATAGCCCATTCCTTCCATTTCCAATTACTGCTCAACCCTGCATGTGAGCGATTCTCCTGCTCCAGCCCAACATTTTCACATTCAACTTGCTTGATCCGAGCTAATTTGATTGAGATACAATCAATAAGAGAGAGTGTCGTATTTCAAGTACCAACATCATCACCAAGTACAAGATGACAACACAAGGTATCACAACGACCACGCTTATCCCGCAAGAGGACACCGAATGTACATGTTTCCATATCCACACTCAAGGTTCATCACTCAACGAGCCCCGTCATCTCCTGTATTCCAGCATCCTCTTATGTAAACGCCATCTCCCTTTGGCATCGTCACACAACCATCCTAGAAACCTATATAAGATATGTTGTAGTTGTAGCTGGTAACAGCACCTTTATCTTGAATATACATCGATTCTCAACGTACTTTCACTTTCTCTATCAGACTACATCAATACACACATATAGCGTGCACCATCTAACTCAACATATGCATACATCGGCGCTATTAGAAAACGGCACAATCTCGTGCCTGCCGACGACCCCTTTTTAAACCAATCGTGCAACTGAATGAGGAACATCAATACATAAAAAAGTTCATTGATCTAAATATTGCAAATAATAGCACGTTACTCTACGTGCAATCGTGCGGGGTCTGATATCCACTCAAGAATCAAATCGAAAAGTAGGACATCCTCGTGGTGCTATGTCATCAGGCTACTACACTGTTCTTATTGGCTTTTGCTAGTGCATATGGCTTTTGGTCTTGGGCTTCAGATGCAGTGGCAAATTGCTGATCGAATAATCCTTTGATGTTCTCAAAGAAATTCCCCTGAAGCAAAGGCTGAAACTCCTCGGTGCTGTTTACGCGAGGAAACGGTTCACTTGGCACAGGCTTGTCCAAAAACGCGCACAATCGATCCCAACCCTCGCCAATTTCCATGATCAATAAGCGGTCAGCAGGTATGTGTTGTTTGACCCATTCATTGTGAGCAACATACAGAGATTTGATTCTTTCCTTGTCATGAAGAAAGCGTTCCAGATCATTAAATGCACCATCCAAGACAACCGTGCGGATCATTTCAAGGTGTTTTACCATCCCTTTTGAAAGCTCCCCAGGGCTATTACGAAATTTGCATTGTACCTTGTAAATTGTATTCTTGACAGAATTGTACCAGCTCTCTGAGTCTCGAATGGTCAACACAAACTTGGCATCAGGGTATTTCACAAGCAGGCGATCAAGGAACACCACCGTGGGCCTGTATCAAATACATTATTGGCTTCAAGATCCCTTCTTCCTGGTGGATGATTACATACCAATCCACTGCCGCATCGAAACCTTCGTAGAGTAAATCCCAGTTGACAGGTTTTTCGGGATGCTTAAAAGCCTTAAGGAATTGCTCGGGATGATCTTCATCACTACCAAAAGTGGTGATCATATGATGCGTTTTGTATCTAGATCACCATGTCATCGTATGGATTAGAGTGCATGATATTGAATAAAACGGAGACAAATTTTACATACCCAAGCATATTCAATGCCAATCGAAGGCTAGATGTGCCTGTACGTCCATATCCTGCACCGATCACTTTGAGAGGTGCCATCGTAAATTGATTGACGTATGTATGTAGTAGCAAGCTTTTCATCATCGCTCAAGGCTTTATATACCCAGCGTTGTTTACTTTTGGAGGGAAATGGACATGGCTGATACAAGTTTCATCTTGCTCATGTTGACAATAGTTCATATTTGTACCACGTGTAAGCGCATGTTGGTATGGATAAGCAGGACACGTTTCATCCCAGGTGAATGACATGCTTTGGGGTTTCATTGTTTGGCAATCTAGTGTGGAGACACCTTATCAAAAGCATGTTCGCCCTTCCATCGTCATTGTACTTAAGATGATCCACGCGTTTCTTATCGATGAATCAATGCAAAATTTATTTATCATGCGTGGCTATGTATAATATGTATGCTTAAGGATTGGATTGGATTGTTTATACCATAATCACATGGGTCGCTGTGCACTTGACAGGCGTGTTGATATATATGTCGTGTTCATTTCCAGTCATTGTAAGGTGGATTGACGAGTGAATGGGTACTAAAAGAGGTTCATTGTCAGCAAAAGTACAAATTGCAGCTAAACAATGGTTGCTTACCTATGCATATTCTGCTCCAGTTGAAGTTCATGAAGGAAAGCATTGACATCATTTTTTCGGAGTGATGAACGTCGACTGGCACCGGCACCAGCACCACCAGCGTCCGTTGGGACCGAGGTTGCCACGCTACCGTTGCTACTGCTACCAGATTGCTGTTGTTGTTGTGGAGGAGCAACTACCACCCTGTATAAGTAACGATTCACGAAGATGATCCGAAAAAGCCCATCCTTACCCAATGCCTCCTTCAAGTTTTCCACGTTGATGGTTTCTTTCTTGACACCTGGGATACACTAATAGGATCGAATGAGATAAATGCTATACGTAATCATCGTCTTAGGTATTCATACTTTTGGTTCTGGAGACGTCCATGGATTTGCCAACTTTGGCTTATGGTCTGGGATGTCTTGTGATGCACGAATTCGGAGGGATCGCTCATGATTTGCTAAACAAAGAAGGATTGTCAACCAATGCATTGATAAAAAGTAACATCCCACTTACCAAATGCTTGTGAGCCCCACTCCACGTACAACTTGCTTTCCAGTTCCAAGCCATGGGTATCATGCTTATCACGCAGTTGCCCTTCATTCGTAAGCTGCTCCACTACGACATGCCGATCCACATAAACAGTAACGGGTGTAGGGTTGTTGGCGTCATCGGTTGAGAATTTGGCTTCGGCCGTTGATGGCAGCTGTCCAGAGAATATGGTGGATGTCCATGCGTTGGCTTCTTGTAGCTGTTGTCGAATCCTGGTAATGTACTCGCCAAGGTTCTCAATGTGAAAATACTCAGCTATCATGCCGAGCCATTCTACAATGGATGCTATCACTGCTCGCTGAATTGTCACGTTCTTGATGGATCCATCCTTGACCATATCTTGAAGCTTGAAAATGAGTGGTACGGTTCTTATCGCTGCATCCACAGTAAATCGGCGAGTGAGAGAACACAAAATGAGGTAAAGTGCTTGGGAATCACCAGCTTGGAAGTCTTCTTTCTGTACCCCGCTGATAATGGTATGGTGTAACGAGTTGACAAAGACCACATCGGTATGTTGGGTAAGCAAATGCTACAAAAAGGTGTTGTGAGAAGCTTGTAGCCGACTGCATGATGTTATTTATACACATACCACAGGATAGGGGCTGAATAAACAATGTTGTAATGTTTGTAAGTATCTTGCTTGCAGCATAAATGTTGAGGTTACTTACCCTGATATTGCTTCAGGAGATGGTGCTGTAATATCGAGATAGCGAATAAGAGATCTGGCAAAATCAAGTCGCGTTTCTATACCATATGATGAGTAAACTAGATGTAGGATGAGCCATGTAAAAAGGAAGGTTACCTGGTTGCTTATCGGTCAACAAAGATACAGCCGATGTCCAACTTGCTGCAGAGATGATATTCTCGGGTGGTGTAGATAAACCTGTTGAAGATATCGAGCGGCCACTAGGAGTATCCACAACAACAGCTGATGTATGTTCAGCGCCAACAAGCTGATCAAGACAAATCAGAGCAACACGACGATACACCTGAATTGGCAACCCATCCACATGTTCAAGAGTTGTGCTGGCACGCAATTTGGCAATAATGTATCCTGCCATGTCGTCAAGCTGATTCTGATAATAGTTTTGGGATGCGAGACCACCAATGCTGTGGATAATTCCTTGATGAATCACGTATTCGAAAACGGCTTGTCGGTCATTTTGATCCGCTGGTAGCTCTTGTCGAAATGATGTGACATGCAACGATTTGACTAGCAGCGTGAACAATACATTGAGGACCTCCAATACGGATACACCAACCAGAGGAGCATTATCGGCATTCAAAACGGTATCGAGCACTGATATAAGACATGAATGCTTGTCATTGAAGTAGCTGCGCTCCAACGTGTTGCTGATTTCCAATTGTTGTAATGTCTCTGAAACCAAAAGGTATCGATATTGTTGTTGTACAGAGTCGAGAATGAGCTCCATCGTGCTGACAACCCTGTCTGGAGGCCACCATTGTCCATTGTCATCGGCAAACCTACCATGACCCATTGATTAAGTTGCTGTATACAATCCTGGTATGTATACTTACGTGTAGACTAAACCCAACGCCATCCGAACAGCAGCACCATTTGACTTTGAGAACAAAATACCCGTACTTTGGGCAGCCAATGCTTCAATTGCACCTCGTGTCAATCCACCTTCTCCTTCCTTGGTAGCTATCGTCTCACTAGATTCGTTGTAAGCATGCATATCAAAATTGAATGAGTCCCACTTACGTCTTTTCCAAACGACTACCAGCTTCCCCGGAAACGATCAACGTCTGAAGAAGAGCAGGAAGAATGATGTCAAGCTGAGTCGAAAAATCACTGGCATGTACTGCAGACGATGTAACAGCTGCTTGAAGGCCACGATGTCCAATGTACTGCATTCTAGATATCATCCATTAATCCATGTATCATACCACTCTTATATAAAACCTCTTACCTCAATGCATAATCTTCATCTTCATTGGCATAATTACAAAAATCGGCAAACTTTTGGAGTAATGCTTCAAAGTCTGATGTGAATCCAGGGTCGATGCCGAGAGTTGATCCATCATGGTAGTTGCAAAAGATAACAAACTTTGTACGTACATGTTAGCCCCATCTATCAATAGAACCTGCTATCGACTTACAGTTTCACATGAAAGTTCAACCAAATCACTGTCTCGGGTATCCAAGGTCTTGTTGAGGATGCGAACGACCCACTTTGAAAACAGGTTGAGATCATGGTGACATGATTGAATCAATGCCTTGATGATGGATAATGATACTTGATTGTTTCTATGAGAGCGTTCAGTGACCACCATCAAGTAAGAAACAAACTCGATACTTGCTGCTTACGGCCCTTGTAGATGTCTCGTTCAACTTTGTATTGAAGATAACGACCCACTTTGGTGAGCTTGGCAGGTCGTGAGCTTGCATAAAAGGTGAGATAGCTGAGTTCTGATGACCGTGGTCCTTTCTCACCCTCTCGTCGAGGATAACAGCTCTTGATGAGCTTGACGTGTTTGAGATTGCGCATGCAAAGCGATCCAAAGCAACCGGTTGCTGACATTAGGAAATAGAATGGACGAGTGAAAGTTGTAGTTGAAGCTGATGTTGAATGACTGTAAGGTTAGCGTCGAGGATGCATTGGGTGTACGATGACGAATAAAACAGGTGTTTGCTTGTACTGGACGAGTGGAAGGAAGAAGATAAGAATTGTCCGAGTAAAGAAAAGATAAAAGAGAACGACAAGGGTTAATGTATAAAATGGGTTGTGCGTAGAAAGAGAGAAAGAGAGAATGAAATCAAATCCTCCTTCACTCCGTCTTTATTTGAGATAGGCCACTTTGAGGAGGAGGGGGGTTGGTTATACTACACACAACAACGTGCCACAAGGGACAATGGAGCATGAGCTCGTGGTGTCTTCAATCTGTGTAACATTATAGACCTTGAATTACATCAACAAGTGGAGTTGGGAGAGCCTTGACAATCATTATCGCAATGCTGGCACCAAGCAGGATTGAAATCACTAGTAATTCCCTCGGAATTGGCATCCAGATAAGATCTCCTGCAGCAACCTTGTTACGGCGACGAGGAACACACATGACTTTGTAGAGATGAATTGTCTTGTAATCCACACACACTTTGGTAGCCTTGTCATGTACCTTTTATACCTTCAATCCTCAATGTCGTCAATGTAATCTTTGTATAAGTAAAGTGGTCGTCTTTTTTCATTGTCAAGAATGCTTATTCAAGTGTGGTTGGTCCCATTATCTTGCTGAAATATGCAATGTTGTCAAAGTAAAAAGTTGTCGCATTGATCAGCTGCTGCATATGAAAATCGTCAGCTGGGTATCCCATTCAACCATGTGACATTGTAGTATCCGGCGGCTATGGCTATTGGGCACATTGTAGCGCGTGAAAGGGTTCAATGAACCACAAACATACATGGAAGTGGATACCAGGTATAGCTGGAAGTGGCATGAATCAATCATGCTTCCAATAGACGTGTATCCTAAAAGGACAAAGGGCCCCATCAATGACGGCACACGAATCTAAAATCCGCTCGTGCAACATGCATTCTGCAAAAAGAGGAAAGTTGCTCGATTGTTTTTCTTTCCTTCTTTCATCCCAAGACAAACACCCGCACACATGCAGTATGGCATTTACTAGGAAACAATTAATCACCATCGTCATTGCCGGGATATTCTCGGCATTGTTCTTCCGTACCGATCCTGCTCTCAAAAACACGCTACCATCACTACGTGTTCAACCATCCGATACGTACACCCTTGACTTTTACCCAGGCGGGCATTTCGTAGAGCTGCCGCAAGGCACCATGCGTTATTGGCTTTTCGGTAATCCTGATGGTGAACGTGTAGTCCTCGTACATGGTATAAGCAGCGGTGCTGTGACATATGACAAGCTTGCAAGACATCTCGTAAGACACCATTAACGCCGTAACCTTCTTTGTCATATGGATTAACAAAGACACCATCACCCATTTTAGGCCGACAATGGATACTATGTGCTTGTCTTTGATCTATGGGGACGTGGATACTCAGATGCTCCTCCTGGTTATTATGATGAATCATTGTATACTACGCAACTCGTCCTCTTACTTCAAAAAGTTGGCTGGCAAAGAGCCAACGTTGTCGGTATTTCATTAGGAGGTAAAACCATCATCTCACGTATGACATACAAGATGTTATCATCCTAACAACGTAAGCATATGCATTTCCCAGGCGGCATTGCTACATCCTTTACCGCATTTTATCCTGAGATAGTCAACAAACTCGTTCTCATTGCCCCAGCTGGTCTGATGGATTCCGAAAAAGATCTCCCTCTCTATGGTAAATTGCTCAAGCTATCCATGGTGCGATCATTGTCGCAACAATCATGGTTCAAATGGGTAGCTCACAAGGGGGTCGCTCATTTCTTTAAAACATCGCGTACAAAGGAGTCGAGGACATCGCCCGATTTCAATCGCCTTGCCACAGCCGTGTTCTCTCAATTTCAGGGACATTCAGGCTTTTTTAGAGCCTTTCTCAGCACTGTAATGGATTACCCGTTAGATGATTTGCATGACCGATATCAGAAAATTGGTCAACAAAACCCAAATTTACCCGTATTGGTTATCTGGGGCGATGAAGACAAGGTACGTAATGGATACATAAAGGATTCATATATACATCATCTCATGCAACGGCTTTTATAGACCGTACCATTTCGCCATGCTCCACGACTTCAACAATACATACCCCAGAGCCAGTTGCTGCGTTTTGATGGAGCCGGCCATGATGTATTGATAACAAGATATGAGGCAGTAGATCAAGCCATTAGCGAGTTTTTGCGTGATAGCAAATAAAACGAGTCATAGATTGTGTGTTTATACGCTTACCTATGATGGCTGGTAACGTCTCCGCTTTCAATGTGCAAAAGAAAAAAGTATCTAAAACCATTGAGGATGCATTAGGATGTATGCAATCAAGCATCCTTTATGCCGCTCCAAGGTACACAAACAAAAGCGGACATACATTCCGGCTCGGTGATGATAACCTTTTAAGGGGCAGGTGGGTTTATCAGTTTTCAACACTTCGACACAGTACTTCAAGATGCTTGACCACTTTATCAGTTCAATTAATCATGACAACAATTCTCACGCCAACTCACATATAAACAAGGCTCTTTGCACCAACAGCACCATAAACCCTTTGCTCCTACTTGTATGCATATCATCAATCATCAATGGTCTTTGGTAAGTCTCAAGGGTATTCTTTATTATGTGATCCCCAAAATGAGGGTACTCATGCGTTCATCTTTTTTGGTTTCATCATTGTTTTACCACTTGAAGTGCTCATTATTGATGCCCATGTAATGGCATTTGGCTGTGTTCCTTGATGGAGCTTTGTGGTAGGTGTCATTTATACATTAAAAGGATGCCTAGTCTGATAGGAATTTGGGACTCCTTTGTAGGTGACATAAATACATGCCACAAGACACCATTCAAGACCATCATCCAGAACAGAACTTGGGAAACATGATACACAGATCACCATACAAGGCGATGCTGATGCGCAATACATACCATGAGCTCAACTCCTCAATGGCTTACTTCATTACTCAATCAAGATTGGGACTTGCATCCAGAGGCAAGTATGTATGCGCACAACTGCTTGCTGGCGCTATATGCTCAACAACGACAACACGGCAATTCTCATCAACACAATCGAGGTGTATGGACGCACGAAGATGGTTGACATTCATCGAGAAATGAACCATGGTGAATCAAGCATGCCTTCTGATGACTTGCCATACACCAATGAATATACCCCATCGAGCTGCGAACCAACGAGGGATACAAGTTGGTCATTGGGATGCAAACATGAAAAGTACGGGATTACCCATTAGATGATTTACATGAGCGATATCAGAAAAGTGGACAACAAAACCCAAATTTCCTAGTGTATTGGTTCTCTGGGGCGATCAAGACAAGGTATATAATAATGGATAAAGGATTCATATATACATCATCTTATGCAACGGCTTTTATAGACCCTATGTACCATTTCGCCATGCTCCACGACTTCAATAATACATACCCAAGAGTCATTTGCTGCGTAAGATGGAGCGGGCTATGACGTGTTGATAACAAGATATGAGGCAGTGGATCAAGCCATTAGCGAGTTTTTGCGTGATAGCAAATAAAACAAGCCATGGATTGTGTGTTTATACGCTTACCTATGATGGCTAGTGATGTCTTCACTTTCAATGTGCAAAAGAAAAAAGTACCCAAAACTATTGGGGATGCATTAGGATGTATGCAATCAAGCATCTTTTATGCCGCTCCAAGGTACACAAACAAAAGCGGACTAATACATTCCGGTTCCGCGATGGGAACAGCCATAAATATATATCCTGCATCCCTTTTCATCATGCACTTGCTCAAGCAACTGGTACCACACATGCATGGATCCACACACGAGGTTACCACCTACCATTTGGTGATCATAGCTCATAATTCTAGCCACGTTAATGATATCACCGTTCAAGATCGATGCTATGTGTTTATTGTTTACAAGACGTGATACTTATTTATGCATCATACAATAGAAAAACAAACGAACAACTGCAGGAGCTTGTTGCTGTAGGGGCCTATGTATTGAAAAGTGTCGTTATAATACGTCGTCATTTGATCGCCACCATCATCAATATGGATGTCACAGGGCTTTGTTTGCTTTCACCAACATAGATGTTGCACATCGAGCCCCCCTATTTTTCGCTTGCTACAATACGCATTATTTTAGTTACGCGCAGCACATTACATCTTTCTCCTCTATTTCTTTCTTGTCGCTGGTGTTTCAATCCCCAACTTCGCCCGCCCACGAACACACAACTATGCTTTTAACTTGCCGTTCAATATCATTCAAAGCAAAATGGATCACGTTTATTGCAAGGCTTGCATCTAATGTTCGTGGTGGAAGACGAAAACGCCAGCATGGTACGACACGAAACAACGATAACCATATCCACGCCTGCCATTGTACGCCATCCCACTACCGGAAACTTGTGCCAGTTAACAACATTACGAAACCAGAAGCACCAGCAATGTCGTCATCATCGACGGATAGCAACAAAATAAGGACCATGCTTTTTCGACGCAATGGCTGTAATGCTTCTGATTTGACCGACAATGATGTAAAAGAAGAAATTGATCATCTTCAAAGGTTGTATCTATTGGCATTGGACGAGGTAAGAGGCGTTGTTGTTATGTATGAAAGAAGGAAAACACGCGTTACAACCACGCTCATGCAACAATCGCATTTGCATAGTTGAATTTTGCACAAGACTCAATGGGGTCGTTGTACTACGAAGGGGACCGCATTACAGCGCATGAAGCTATTAATGATTGCACAAACACATTTATGCGGCTGTTATCAAGAATTTCAGACATCGATCAAAGACGTCATCTACGTTTGACCATCATTCCAAAACTCGTTGATTTGCAAGAGCAATACAACCAACTTCCTCCACCACCACCCTCTTCACCTTGATCATCTTGATTGCCCGTATCATCATTATTGTTTGCTCCTCATTCCTCCCTCAAAAGTACCTTTATACCGTATTCCCAATATACTGTTTGCAATGATCATATAGTTCACTCTATCAATTATATCAAGCGTTTCATCCAAATGTATTTCATGGTATAATGTGGGAAGCTAAAGCTACAAACAAATGACAGGATGCCATAATCCATTTCTGGTTACGATTGTTTGCACTCGGGTGCGTTCTCATTCTTTGCAGGCTGCTGGAAAATAAGCTGTCAGTTACCATCAAAAGCAATCAATTTGGATCAAACCATACCGTGTCGTCATCGTCATCGTCATCATCATCGTCATCGAGATCGTCGTCATCGTCATCCTCCTCCTCTTCAAAGAAGTCTTCTTCATCCTCAGACTCAAATCCTTCATATTCTAAAGCTTTGCCGGTGAAGTAATCCACAGCATGAGGGATGATCTTGTCCTTGAATTCCTCGCCAGTCTCATAATCCACCTCGAGCTTGGCATCCAGGCCTTCAGCCTCTTCCTCATCCAATTCCTCATCATCACCAGGGAAGCTTGGCGGGCTAAAGAAGCTGAAGAACGTATCGGCAGGGACTGTGCGCTTGACAACACGTGTCTTGTTGGTACCTATAATGGGCTTAGCAATCTGGGTTGGCTTGCCACACAATGTGCTACTTTACCCTTATGGCGTTGCTTTTTGGTTTCAACCTTGACAGTGAGATCCTTATTCTCCTTCCAGTGAATGTTGCAACCTTCTGCATGATCATAGACAAAGTCGCCACCATAAGCGTGATCTTGGTAATAGTAAGTCTTGGTCAACACCTTGTCGGTAAAGTAATCGTTGTCGGCAAACTCAAACTCAAGCTTGAAACCGGGCTTATCCATGTACGATAGCCGAACATCCACCAAATGCTTAAGTGCTTGCTCATCTTGATCAGTGATGCTCTCCGAAATTTGTGGGTGATTCTTCAATGCAGTCAACCAAAACTCGGGGATACCATCCACATGTTCATCATCGTCTTTGTCCTCTTTGTTGTCACTGGAAGATGCTGCAGGTTGCTTTTGCTTTTGTTGCTCATTGTCTTCATCTTGTTCCTCGTCAACTTTCTTGCCAGCTTCAACTTCTTCCTCGGTAGGTTCATAAGCACCAGCAATGACTTGAGCGCGCTTGGTGTAAAGCGGGGTGTACAATGCCAAATACTTTTTCTCCAATGCCAAGATTTCTTCCTGAAACTTGCCCTCTAGCTCGGCATGCTGTGATTGCAGATACTGAAGACCATGGATACGACGTTGAACACTGGCAGGGAGTGGATTACTTGCAAGAGAGCCGAGTCTACCTTGGAGCATGGTGGCCAAAGCTCCTGACAACTTGGTCGTTAGAACTTGACATCCTTTGTCCTCGCCTTGACACCCATATCTTGATCCAATATCCTCACGCAAACACATACGCATACGTTCTCTTCGCTCCCACTCTCTCCAACACATGCAAACATACACCCCCAAGAGATAGCCATTCCTTTTCACCGCCACAACAACATACCTTGATTATTTTCTTCTGAGATACTAGATATGCTTGGACGATATTCGGATGTGATGGGTGCAGGGTTAATGGGCGTGTTCTGAGGTGTTGGTGCTGTGAACGATTTGCTCTGCTTCTTGTTGATATCTACACTGGCAGCTATGGAGGAGCGAATGTGAAGGGGTCAATACATGAGAATGCCAAGTTGAATGTTGGGTGGCCTTACATGCTTGTTGATCCATGGTGTACTTTTTTTCTGTTTCCGGGAAAGAAAGGAGGAGACTGTGTGGCTCCCCAAAAAAGAAAAGCTTCGGTGAGCATCCCCACCCGTTAGGCCTAACCCAACCAATGAGATCGAACACCTGGCCTGAGCTCAATACTCACTCATCATGCGTCGCATCTTTATGATAAAGGTCCTACATCCATCATCCTACTACACCAACACCATCTCATTGCTGCTTGACAACAATAGATAACCATCAACCATACACCGTCCTATACCTTTATTCTTTCATCCTTGGCACAAAGTATATCATACGACACCACCACAAGCATTAGTGGCCCGTCTCCATTACGAGGAATCCTAAACCAAGCTAGCTACCATGTTAACATCACCACATAATGTAGCAACCTCAATAAAGCTCCATTAGCAAGCATGTTGTCTTTGTAAGCACCAAAGTTATCAATGCCATTTCCAAAGCATGCAAGACCATATGTTCATTTTAGGTGGTCTATTAACCGTGATGGACAAGTGACGGATGGCTGCTAACGACGCAAACCTTTTGCTTCGTATCACTTATCCCACGTATCATGCTTCATGCTTTACATGAGAACCTTTCGGATGCACTGCTAATCATTTTGTCCTCGTGAATACCTGCTGGTCAACTACTTTAGACATTACGAACAACCATTGATTCACATGCACATCATGGCCAGTGATTCTAAGATCCCTATCAAGATTACATCCCAACACCTAATTGATTCTTACACAAACCACGCGGGTCTGTACCCGGGTCAACGACCCTTCTTACAGGCAAAGGTTACTTTGGATTAATTATAAAACTTGCTCATACGGCTTATCATAAGCACCAGCAAGAAGCATGTCAACCTGGGACCTTCATAATCAAACGGGTTACCATTGTAAGAACAATCACTAGAATACGTGACAGCGTTAAGGCTCACTAATCAATGTACAGGATGTGTGTCGTTCATTTACACAAGTACGCTGGTCCGTGCACATAATCAAAGATGCACTTGTCTCCGCTTCATTGTTATGTCTTACCATGCGCATCACCTACTACATTTCATTTCTCTCCCAAGAAGAACCCTTTATACATAAGAACAGGCGTCCTATTAATACAAGATCACCAAGACAAGCATTTTCTTGTGCACAAGGGAAGATACACACAGCAGCTATTACACACCCATTGTTGTATCCATGCATACTACATCATCCTTTTGACCTTGGCACTTAGGAAACGCATGCAGATCCCAGTCGCTGCTGGTTGCATGTAGAGGATAATGGCAGATGGCATGTACAACCAAATATCAAGAACACAGTCCACCATTGCTGCTATGCGTATTCAATATTGGATGCTGTTTACTGTTTACTCACGTACCTCCCTAAAGCTATTCATCATCCGTTTATGCAGCAACAACCTCTCAAAAACGCACGTGTGTAACCGCCACGTGGTTTTTCGCCCAGTTCCTCGCCTTGTCTATAGTGCTCTCAACAACATCCATTATCAGTAAGCAGCTCCATCACGCTTAAAGCATAGCGAAAACATAAAGATGCCCATATCTCAAAATCTTACAATCAATGCTGGGTCTTTTTTAATAGAACAAAGCTACTCGCCTGGGTCAACAGGATCATGTGTGCCAGTTTCACGATCGAGGTGACCAATCCCAGATATGCCAAATGTCGCCACCCGCTAAAAAAAATTCAAGAGGTCGACCCGAATCCAATTTGGCTGGTGGCGACATTAGGCAAATCTGGGAATGGCCACCACGATCGTGTAACTGGCACACAAGATCCTGTTGACCCTGGCGAGCAACTTTGTTCGATTAAAGACCCCAACATTGAATGTAAAGTTTTGAGATACAGCTGACTTTATGTTTTCTATATGCTGTAAGCGTGATGCTATATGAAGGGTGGTCTTTGTTCATTGTGAAGTAGCTTGACCCTGGCAGAGCAAAAGATGCAGACGGACCTCTTTGTGTAACACAGCTACCTTGCATGACTGGAAGGATGGGTGGATGATACTTACATACTATTGATGATAGTCTACAAGCTGCGAGTTATCAACCATTTCCTCACAATCAGCGTTATTGCAAAATCCACTGCATGTGAACAATTCTCCTGCTCCAGCCGAGCATTTCCATCATTCAAGTTTCTTGATCCGAGCCGATTTGACTTAGCTACGGTGGAACAGCAAGCATGAAAATTATTGAATCGCAGACCCTGCGAATGTCTCCGTCTCTCAAACTTGTGGACGCACCCATTCCAAATTTTCAAATGAAGCGTGAAGTCTCTATTAGAAAAAGTTGATCAGCATGCTCGAGAGCACCCCTCTGACCAATTTTCAAGTTGGAAGTGAGCAACTTCGGGGCGGTGGGCCGTCCGCTCTTTTGTTGCCCATCATCCACCGCTTGGGCCCTCCCGCATTCAAGACATCCTTAATGAAGTGTATGGTTTTTAAATGAATGAAGTTGACCAGCATGTTGCAGCGAACCTTCAGACAAAGTTTCAGGTTCGAAATGGGGAATCCCAAGATACTACATAGTATTTCGATGAATCATGAATCTGGGGCTGACCTGCATTCCGATCTCCATAATAAATCCCACATTGTACCCTCCCATTCAATTTCTTATAATGAAGTATAGGTTCCTTATTATGACAAAGTTGGTTAACATGTCCAAGAGCATCTTGTGTGAAAGTTTCATGTTCGAGAGGGGCAATCCCATAATCAAGATTACACTTTCAAGTGTTCGTGCATTTATACAAGAGGTGTCCTACCCATTTAATTTCCACCTCTTCCACCTCCCGCTTCTTGTCTCTTCCTCCCATTCTCACCTGTTACCCATTCAAGTACAACTACCACCTGCAAACGATTGTCCTGCTTCAACCCATCATGTCAATCCTACACTTGGCTTGATCCGATTGTCGTCGACTGAATGGCAAGTCCATGCCACATGCAACCCACTACAATACACGCCTCCCATTGACACTACACGTTCTCTTGTACACTCGTCTACCACGACCAATGGTAACAGCATTCATTCCAGCAATTGCTATCAGCGAGGTCTTTACTCCATTGTCTCAAACAGCGTTCTTTACTTGCAGTAGCATGCCTTGCAGCCTTTTGTATAACATGAACAGCAGATAGCCATTGTATAGAAGCAGCTTTATTTACGTGTAGCAACTTGCTTTCAATACATACGGATCCTTATGGATGATGCCATTTCAACCATCAACTACTTTTGCCCAATCAAGCATTCTTCATCTGGTTGAGTTGCGATAGAAAATGACCAAGAAAGAGATTGACCAACAGCGGGATGGAAAAGGAAGCGACCAAAAGGGGTTCTTGGTATCAACATGTTGGAGTTGCAATGGTTATGGATGGATGGATGCAATCAAGCACGGTGATAGGGGATCTTGATGTCGTTTTGGTTACTTAGCAATGTCACCAGCAGGAAGGATGGGCCATGCTACGTGGATACGGGTGAGGATGATGATGGATTGGATGGCATGGATGAGAGGGCTTATATCTTTGACGAAGGTGGTTTGTTACCAATGGATGGTATTGGGTATTGGAGTCAAGGAACGCACAGCAACGAGTTTGCAATCATGGACGAAGATGCTTTATGGCGGCAGCAACCAAGGATACAATGACACAATGGTGCCCACCGATCCTATGTGACCCACTTGATCGGTTTCCGGAATGAAAGGGAGGATAGAACCATGAAGATTGGAAAACGAGATTAGGTCATATACATCATTGCATCGAGGCACCTTTGTTGCTTTCATCACACCACATTCTTTAGAGCTTCCTTGTTCATATGCCGATAGACGATAGGCGATGGTAATTCTCAGGATAGTGCACAGGTTTTAAATAGACGCTTGTACTTTCAAGGATAATAAACCTATGTTAAATGACACCTGACAATAGTACATGTTACAGAAATTTGATCCATTGAAAGCTGAAGTCATTACATTTAAGAAAGAGTGAGCTCTGATACAATGTGATATGGGTACATGCATACGCATCTTACGACAGCTTTCGTATCTTGTACCTATACTCTTATATGATTACGATCCCCTGGAGACAAACAATGCCATCCCTCTCTCGCCCTTTCGCACGAATACTATCAGATGCACTGATTAGTTTTGACTTGTTCACCATACCATGGTTCCATACGGTCTTCATAGGCGGATCTTACTATAGGGGCAGGGACCATTATGCAATGTCAACCAATAAGGTTGACTCTTGAAATCCCGCCCATCCCGGGTTAATTGCACAACAATCGCTTCTGCATCTTTTGCTCTGTCTAGGTCTAGCTACTTGACATTGAACGAAGACCACTCTTCATATAGCATCACGCTTACAAACATAAATGTGTCTGTATCTCCGAACTTTACAATGAAACGTGGGGTCTTTGATAGAACAATGGGCTCGGCTTGGCCAACAGCACCTTGTGTGAAAGTTTCACGTTCAATGTCGCAAACAGCCCAAAAAATATTTTTTGGTCGACGTCGTCGAAGAGGTCGACCCCCAGATCCAGTTTGGCTGGTAACGACATTGCGAAATCTAGGATTGGCAAGCTTGATCGTGAAACTTTCACACAAGGTGCAGTTGGCCAAGCCGAGCCCATTGTTCTATCAAAGACCCCACGTTTCATTGTAAAGTTTAGAGATACAGGCACCTTTATGTTTGTAAGCGTGATGCTATATGAGAAGTGGTCTTTGTTCATTGTCAAGTAGCTAGACCCTGGAGAGCCAAAGATGCAGAAGGACCTCTTTGGGTAACTCAGCTAAAAGGTCAGGACTTCAGGGACAATGCATGAAAGGTACACAACCCTCACTTTGATGTCATACATTGGCAGCTAATGGCCACTTTTGTGCATTCCCAACTTTTGTGCATTCTATTGTAGGTGGACGATGCTCCTGCTCTAGACATTCATTTCCATGATTAAAGTAGGTTGATCCGAGCTGATTTGGTTGAGTTACGCTCACACAAGATTA